GTTTAGTTAGAGAAACCAAAAGTAAAAATGGCTCCTTTGGTTCAAGAGAGTGAGGGAAGGTGAAGGTGACAAGAGGAGAAGCACTCAGCTGCTGGAGGACCAGAAACTCACGCTCAAGACAAAAGGAATTACCCTAGGATCATGTGCCAATCATATAAATAGCCACTCAAGCTTAAAACACACAGTATTAACTTTAATTGCTACGCTTAGCATTTTAATACCAAACTCAGGATTCTTAACCTACTCAATTTTACAAGAATTATCATATATTTATTATATTTTTCGGAGCACCTTTCTGGCACGCGCTTTTCATAGCCAGTATCAGTTTCTGGCACCAGTTCTCATTATTTTGACTTGAAACTCGTTTTTCAAGTCCTAAATATTATTCTAGTAATTATAATGCCCTTATTATAATTTTCTGGGATACTTTTTCGGTACACATTTATACCGACTAGCAGAACCGGTATCTGCAATTTTCTTCCGAAAAGCGACTTTCAGCATTCTTAATCACTTATCATAATTATTAAAGCCTCTTAATAATTATTAGGGTCAATTATGGAATCATTTCCTAATTTAACATAATTAATTACTTAATTCTCTTAATTAACGGTGCGGGTTCTTACAGCGAACATGTTAAAACAATGATGAACGCGCTCTTTGTCCATCTTCTTGATCTTCTTTTATTACAATTTTTGAATACAAATCGAAAAAGATACAAAATTGAAATAAGAATTCAAGGAGGAAACCTATTCATATGGGATTAGCCTCCTTGTTACAACCCAAGGAAATACAAGGAAATTTCTACCTTGGATTAAAGCCAAAACCATATAAAGAATAGATTTTTATTGAAAAGAATACTCATGCAAATATTTGAATAACAAATATAGAATCCTAGGTGCCATATTTTATAAAGCAAAACAAATTACATGATAAACGTAAAATAAAACTAGATCTACATCCAAAAACACAATCCGGCTCTGATACCAATTGTAGGAGCAATTGCATCTGCGGAAGCGTATGAGACCATTGTGATTTGGATGTATAAGGATCATCATGGTTTTATCATTTACCTCTTGAATGGCGCAAATGTGAGATGATATTGTTCCTCACGCTTGAGTCCTTTGCGTCACAACACGAACTCACGAACTGCTGTGGTAAACCTTCCAAGCTATCTCTCGAGGAGGAAGGGGAAGTGTGTGGGCACCAATCAGATTTTAGCTTGCCTCTTTTCTTTCTAAAAACCTTGGAGACTGATGACTTAAGTGATACTATTTATATTGGTTCCAAGAAATCCTAGCTCATTAGGCTCTAGGTTTCTTGAGCTCTTCTCATACTAATAGCTCATTTGGACTTTAATAAAAGAGCAAACCCAACAATTAGTACAACCATTGACTCGTTAAAAAGTAAAAACTTTGGACCCCTTTCTAGTAGGATGAAGCATGGTTGTCTAATTCTTGTAACTTGTGACATGGAGGAAAAACCCCTAGACTAGCTAGTACTATATCTAATCATTAAATCATGGGAAAAAGAATTCTTATGTTGTAGGAGAGCTCTCTTCTCATGTTAGTGAGAGTTCGTTTTACGTGCAATAATTTTTTTGTTTTCTTTATTTTTTATATGTGGGCCCCACCATAAATTTGAGTGTGTAGGAGATTTCTTCCTCTCCAATAGCATGTGAAAAACATTCCCCTTAAATCATATACTTGCGTGATCGATGTTTTAATTCTTGATGCAAAAACTTGAGTACATGGGTGATGATGGGTAATTCACATTAAAAAAGTGGTTAAAGTAATACTCATCGCAAAAAACTCATCATGATTGGAACAAGCAAGGCTTATGATTTGTAACTGGGACATAGCTATGATAATACTATGGCTTTGAAACAGCACCTTAACGTAACCTATTTAACTGAAATTTTTAAAACTTTTTCTTTTTTTGGAAATAATTAATTCAATTCAAAAATATATTTTAAGCCCTTAGGTGAAATTACATATATTATTTCCTTTAATATAGTCAGTCCTTTAATTTGGATTCAGGGAATCATTGTAATAAGGGTTTAGAATTTAGGGTTTAGAGAATTATTATAATAAGGGGCGAAAACTAAGATGCATTTACTAATATAAATACACTTTTAACAAAAGGACTGACTATTAGAATTAATAGTTTGTTATTAGTAAAAAAAATATCATTTTATATATATAATAATAATAAATATCAAAGTTTGGAGAGGAGTGACTGTTGACTTTGGCTCCTCCCTGAGTTGGCCACTGGTTAGGTGGTCTCCTAAAAGGTGAATTATGTGTAGGTTTTTTTTTTGGGATTATCATGCACTTTAACTTAATTTTTTAATAGAAAAATAAGGACGGCAAGAATCAAATTCTAAACCTTTTGAATTATATAAGCTTTAATACTATATAAAAAATTAATTGAATGCAAAAATATGTGAAAACATAAATATTATTTTATATTCTTAATAACCTAACCATTTTATGAGAAAAATATTATCTCTGTAGCATGGAGATATCCCATCTTAGACTAATCTTCAGGATGGTATCCTAAACACGTGGCAGGATTGCTTTGCTTATGTCTAGTCGCGCATTTTTACGCATGACCTCCTTGCGAGCATTAGTACATTATTTTGATAAAATATTTAGAATTTAAATCAATTTGGAAAAAAAAATTCCACTCTCAATACTATGATCAAAAGGCCTTGCTATTTCCATTCCACCACATGGACTTCATCTTTACCTTGTGTGCTTGACTATTTGAGTATTCACGCACATACTATATATGTAACCATCATTGCTAGCCTGTGCTTTTAAAAATACTTTTTCTAAAGAAAAGTGGTTCAGTTATACTTTTTTTTTTTCCTTCATTTTCTTTCTTGGGGTTCCAACAGGTTCCCACTGAACCCCATTGCATGGAGACAATTCATGTCATTTTCAGGTCACTATTAGACTACTACTAAGTAAGTCCAAAGTTGTACTCCATATAGTTGTCGGTGCAATGCCCTTAGTGGGAATTGCATTTCATTTGTGCACTGTGGTAGGGGATATATGCATGCGAAACAAAGTAAGTCATTAGAATAAATAATAATCACATTAACCAAAAGTGCATAATACTGGCACGATATGATGATCCAGGATTCAGTAGTTTTTGTTGTAGTGTAGATATTTCCAGTGCACCATATTAGAAATCAACTGACACTTATTAACCTTATTTAAGATGATCTTTCAATCCAACATATAGATTATGAATGTAATTTTGTCGGACAAGAAAACTTAGAAGCAGTTTGACAACTCTTGATTTAGAACTGTTTAAGAGAAAGTAATCATATATATATATATATATATATATATATATATATATATATATATATATATATATATTATTTTGTAAATAGTTATATCTTGAATTTAATTTGCTTCAAATTTACTTTGAATTAGTTTTTATCTATTTTTTTTTTAAATATTCAAATTCAAAAAACTTAATATGCTTATTGATCATTGGATGAGTGGGTAGCCCTTATTATTATATCTTAACAATTAGTCGCTTAGATTTGATTGAAGAAAAAAAATGATTAAAAGGAAAGAATATATAAAAATTGGACTAGACAAAAAACTTGTCTATAAAATAGTTTAGTTTCAAAAAAACTAGTCCCATGACATTAAAATTTCTCGATCTAAGAAAATAAATATTATACATTTCTTATATTTGCTAAATTGAAGAATTATTCAAACCGTAATAAAAGATTATATGTGTAGAGAGAAGGGACTTTTTATGTTAAGACTAGGCATATTCTTTAGGTTTAGTCATTGATTAAATTACATTCTACACTCTTATGAGGGATTAATATATATTTTTAATGTAAATATCAGATGATATTTTTCTCTCTCGTCAACTCTTAGCAATCTATCGACGGCTAGTTTAAACTTTGTTTGTGGTTGTTGAGGCCAGTTTTAAACTTTTATTATTGACTTTTATACTTTAAGAGATGAAGATTTTGGGTGAAACCCCAAAACTAAAAATGGGAGTGTTCAAAATTTCATTTCATATTTTAAAGTATCAAAATCAAACGCAAGATGTTCAAAATTCACCGTGGGTTAAATGTCTATCATGTTGCGTAAATAATTTCATTTTCTATACATACATAAAAATTTGTGAAACTCATTTTTTTTTTCTCTCTATTCTTTTCACATGACCCCACATGAGTCCACATACATTTATATATATAAAATAAGGGGAAAGTACTTCTTATGTGACTGCAGAAGGAAAAACTTGCAGCAACACAGGATACGCGTCCGAATCCTTTTTTTTTTTGTTTTTTTTTTTTTTGATAGAATCCGCACGTGTATCCTAGGATCCGCACGTGTATCCTAGTGTTAAAAATTTGCTGCAATTTTTCTCATCAGCAGTCACATGAGAAGCGACGGACCCATAAAATAATTTTATCCACTACAATACAAGAAACATCAAACTCATAGACCCGTGTGAGTCTAGAGAAAATTAACTATTTTACCAATTTCTAACCAAAGTACAAGGCATCCATAAGCTATGTTCACCAAGCCAAATTGCCCAGTATTGTTGGCCCCAAAGAACATATTGTCTACAGTGCCTACCTCTTCCACTGCTGTGAGAGTTTCAAGTGCTTTATCCATTGCATTTGTAGTTTTGGTTTCATCTCCAGATAATTTGTAAAATAGTTCAGTTACGGAAACGATTTAGGAAACCAAATAAACAACACCCCTGCAATGGCATTGCCTCCATGAACAAGCACAGGGACTTTCTTGAGTAAGACACGGCCCATACCAACCTAGAAGGCTTCCAACCAAACCAAACAAACAAAATATAAGAATGGGAAAAAAAAAAAAAAAAACATAAAGTTGTGGGAAAATTATTAGGTTATATTATAGAGAGAGAGATTGTGAGACCGATATTTGTTTTTAAAAAACAAAAAATTAAAAAGTGCAGATCCCACAATCTTTATTTCTATAACATAACTTAACAACTTTCCTACAACATTATATTTCTATTTCTCTGTAAGAATCATAAGAACTTTTGATCATCATAACCATCTAGATTATCCAAACATTGCAGTAAGACCGTTTTATTAACATCATTATCAAATAAAATGATTCCCTCCTTTAATTGTTGTAGTATTACGTATATCTCTTGGCATTGGGGATGTGATTTATCTTCAGCATTGAAAGCATGCACTTTATTTTTCACTTCTATCCAACTCCAACCAGGAACCTTCTTCACTCCCCTTTCTCGCATCAGCCTTGTTACACTAGCCTTTTCATCCCACATCTTGAGACGCCCATACATGTCAGAGAGTAGAACATAAGTGCAGTGCTCCTCAGGCTCCAGCTCTAGCAAAGTTCTAGCTACATGACTAGCTAAATCAATATCACCACAAGTTCTACAAGCACCTAATAAAGTCTTCAAAACCATTGTGTCGGGTTCAAAAGGCATTGTTTCAACCAAAGCTTTTGCCTTCTCTAGATAACCAGCTCGACCATAAAGATCAATTGCACAAGCATAGTGCTCCATTCGAGGTGGAATACCAAAATTAGACTCCATAGACTCTATAAAGTTGCAGCCTTGTTCCACTAGCCCATTATGACTACATGCAGTTAGAACTGCAACAAGGGTTATATGATCAGGTCTCACCTTTCTCTCTCTCATTAAGTAAAAGAGGTCAAGTGCAACGTTTCCTAGCCCATGTTGTGCATACCCAAATATGATTGAGTTCCAAACAATTGCATTGTCTTTAGAAGTTGCTTCAAAAGATTTCCTAGCATCTTCTATGATTCCACATTTAGAATACATGAAGATCAATGAACTCTCGACATATTTATTGGTATCAAAGCCTACTTTAAGTGACAAGACATGAACTTGTTGACCTAGTTGTAGTGTTGCTAAATCTGAGCACGATCTGATTACAGCTGAAAAAGTATAGTGGTCGATTTCTATGACCAGAAATCTCATCTGTAAAAATAACCTCAAGGCATCTTCACTCAAACCAACTTGTGCGTACCCTGCCAAAATGGAGTTCCAAGTGCAACAATCTTTGTGATCCAAGGAAAAGAAGATTCTTAATGCATCTTCCATGCACCTATTATTACATCTGAGATACATGGCAATTAAAGCATTCGAAATAGGTACAGAATCTTCAAGTCCCCTTTTTATTACAAAACCATGCAAAGATTTTCCATGGCTTTTATGCTCTTGTACAGAACAAGAGCTAACAATCCCTGTATAAGTATAAACATCAGGCTCAAACCCAAAATCTTGCATATCAATGAAAACTTTAAATGCAAGATCTTCTTTCTCATGCATCAAGTAAGCAGCAAGCATAGAATTCCAAGTAACAAGATCATGACACCTAACAGCACCATCAAATACTCTCTCGGCATCTTGCAGAGAACAACATTCTGAATATGCCGTGATAGTTGCATTGCAGACAGTGTTAAATAAATCCAGCCCATGCTTCACAATTTTACAATGCAACTGCATTAACAACCTATAAAACTCAAAATCATCAAGCAATGTCAAAAGCGGAGACATTGTACCATCATCAATCCCAACACCCTCCATTTCCATACATCTTAGTACCCAAAACGCCATATCACAATCACCAACTCGCGAATAACCAGCAATAAGCGCATTCCACGACACAAAATTTCGTACCGGCAAGCACCAGAACACATTATACGCTTCATCAACTCTCCCACACTTGGCATACATGTCCAGAAGGGCACTACCAGAAAACACATTCCCTAAAAACCCAATCTTGAACATAACAGAATGCAATTGTTTCCCGAGCTCGAGCTCGCGAGCACGGGCAACACCTTTAAGAATGCTTCCAAACGCTTGGCCATCAAGAGGAAGTGCAGACCTTCTCATGGCACTAAGGACTTGCCATGATGCTTCCAGGTGGCCGGAGTTTGCATAACCGGAAATCATGGCGTTCCAAGACACAGTATCTCTGTGGGGCATTTGATCGAACAGTTGGTGAGCAAGAGTTAACTGTGTGCATTTTGCATAGGCAGTAATAATGTTATTGGCGATATAAAGGTCTGCAATGGACCCTAATTTGATTGCTCGGCAATGGGTTGCTTCCAGCCCAAGCAAAGTAATAGGTGAGCTCCAAATAAGGGAGAGCAACTTCTTCATTCATGAGCTTATCAATGAGATTACAGCGTGTTTGCCAATGCACATGATTTCATTGCCCAAATGGAATTTAAATTCAAACACCGAAGATCGCGGTGGTCGCAGGGGAAGACATATCAGTGGGGAGAAAGAAGCCAACTACAATGAAGAAAAAGAATATGAAAAAGATTTCAGTAAACAAGTTTTGACATTTTTGTTCTGGGGTAGATATTCTTATATTAAAAGTCTTACACTCAATCTTGACCATTGATTAAATTATATTCAATGGCTCACATTATTAAAAAATTAGAACCTTCGGATATAAGTAAGATCAACCGACAAGACAAGACAACATTACTAAAAAGATTTCAGTAATAAATGAACAGTTAAAAGAATTTTTACATGAGTTTGACAAGCCTAATATTTTAGGATTCGTGCAAAATGAGGTATAGGCACATAAATTCTCAAACTTTGTATAATGATATGTACCATCTTAATCATAACATTAATATAATTAAAGTTGACGACAGGAAAAATTCACATAACTGAAATAATACCCATAGTTGATAGTATATGGTGAAAAATTCCTCTTGTTATAAGAACATCTTAATTTTATTATATTTTATAAAGATTTGATTAGAATTTGTTCGAGATGAGTTATATTCACTTTATATAATGAACTTACGTAACAATATTGAATTTACTTATAGCACATATTAGCGGAAACAGTCTTCTAATTTATATACATGTTATTTACACAGATATATAAAAGTCTTATTTTTTTTATATATTCACAAGTTTATCGATTACTCGATTAGTTCCATTTAAGCATTATGGGATCCATTATAAGAGGTTGTTCTCCCAAAATTATTTTCTCCATTCCTAGGTTGGAACTTGAGATTTCTAATTGAGGAAAACAAACTCCTCACCACTTGAACTAATGATTATTGGTATAAAAGTTTTACTTTACTTATAGGACTCATCCAATGAAACTCATGTTATCTATATCCTTCTATTACTATCTAGAATTGTGCTTTATTCTAAATTTCTAACACACACCACCCTTAAATTTGACATATTTAGCCAAAATAATGTAAGAGTCTAGAGCTGTCAAAACGGTTCAGTTCAGCCCATTTAGCACTATCCTGTGTGGGATAGGGCTAACAAATCCACAATAATATAGGCTTGAATGGACCAAAAGCCTTATGGTTTAGGACCCGCTCACGAGCCTTCCAAAAAATTAATATTTATTTTTTTTGTAAAAAAAAGCCCATACTTGATTATATTAAGCTTTTTTGTAAAAAACTTCCAAACATTAGATATTTCTCTCTTAATAATCTCAACACTTCGAAAGACTTTTCAATAGGAGTTTCAGAAACAGCTTCATCATCCACATTCATAGTCTTATTCACATACTACATAATACAATTTTTTAGTTCCTAAACATTAAATCAAACAAAATTATAAAAAAAAAATCAGAACAAATATTTCTATTATGCTGATCGTACAAAAAAATAACTGGGAAACTGTAGAAAAATCATGATGGGCGACTAAAAGTGCAATTAAATAATTTCACTTTAGAAAAGTATATCTAAAGTCAAACAGGGGCTAAAGATAATTTTTTGGAAAATGCAGACATCTGTCCAAAAGCCAAACAGAGAAACCATAAGTCGTCGCCATATATTTTAGAATAAATCTTTGGTACTATTGTTGTACCAAATATTCAGTACATCTCACCAATGAAAATATTACATGTTAGCTAAAATTCTGTTTTTTTGTCAGATTTTTTCTCTCTCCTCTAATATGTAATGCTCTCATTAATAAGATACACTGAATCTAGGTGCATCATAGAACCAAAGATTTATTTCATATTTTATTACCACCTAAGCAATATATGCATTAACTCAAAAAAACTAATACAACACAGTAAAAGCAAATATAATTACCTCCTCCTTTGCTTGGCAGGACGATGGTTGTCACCATATTTCTCCGACGTGCTTCGTCGTCGTTCGCAGCATCTCCGACCATCTTCTCTCTTCGTTGCCGTCGCGGTTGTTGTTCTATGCCTTAATCTCTTCTCAGCTTCGTTTCTTTCTTCTTCTTTTTATGTTTGCCTCTGTTTCGTTTATTTATTTTTTTCTGCCACTGTTTCTCATTTGTTTATATTTTTGTTTTCTATTTTTAATTTTAACCAATCCCTGTTTGCCTCTATTTTTTTTATTTCTCTGCCTCGATACCTTTTTTATTTATTTTTTTCTTTTAAATTTTTTGCCTCTGTTTCGTATATTTGCTGCCACACGAACACACCACACCACATGTATATTTGATAAACCAAATGTGGGATAAACTAAATTACATATTTTTGATAAATCAAATCAGAATTATTTGACCAAATTTTTTTTTTTTTTCCTCATGTTTGTCTCTGTTTTGTTTTATATTTACTGAAAAAAATAAAATTAGTCCAGTAACAATTATTTTGCTTGTTGGTTGAATTAAACTTGTTTATTATATTATTTTATACGCATATAAATATAAGAGTAAATACCATTTTTCGTCCCTGGAAATATTTGCGAAACACAATTTAGTCCCTCAGTTTAAAAAAGTCACATTTCAGTGTTTCATTTTTGAAAAAAAGGGCCACGTTCGTCCTTCCGTTAGTTGGCATCTAACGGCCCAACTAACGGTGCACATGTGGACCGTTACTTTGCTGAGTCACTGTTAAGTATGCCAGCATGGAAGTAAAACGACGCTGTTTTGAAGGTGCCTTATGTCTTGTTGGAGTTTTGAACAGCTGAAGGTTCTATTTAGTCCCTGACAAATTTATCGAGGCCCTATTTGGTCCTTAACACTAAAAAATCACCATTGCAGCAAACATTTCAAACCACCATTGCAGCAAACCAAGGCTTATGCTATTGGCCAAGGCTTATGCTATTCGATCAGATTTCCCATTGTCAACAACCACCTGAAACCAAAAAAAGGATTACAACAATCTTTTACAATATATAACGAGCTTTCTACAGTACATATGAAGTGCCAATATGGATACAACCTTACCCAATGAAGCAGTAACCAACCCCTTTGAACGTCTAGGACATCCAATGACCAGTGCCCAGTACCTTCTTTGTAGGATTCTCTTTTTTGTGTCAATCTATTTAAGGATCAAATGGAACAAGGTCAGAAAAAAATGAAACAGATATAGCAACTTGAGATTGTGACCATAATAGACCAATGCTCTGGAGGTTATATCATCCAGGTCAGCCAGCATGAAGCATTTGATGAAAAAGTACAATTATCACTCACATCATCTGACGCCCTGGAAGTTTTCTCGCGGAAGATGGAATGCAAAACTGCAGCACTTGTATGTGTCCTTCCCATCACCAGAATGCCAGAACAGTCTCTGTCCAGTCTATGTACCTTAATATATACAATCTTGTTCAAGTATCAATCTAATATCTAGTTCATACTTCATATATCCAAGCAACCATCAATAATATTGGCACAGAACTAAAACACAAGGCAAACAATCCCACAAATTTCATGGATGTTCAAGCTGTGTAATGATGATAACAGATGCAACGATCTATGAAAAAAATAATAAATAATTAACTTTTACCATTCTTTTTTACAAAATACCACTTTCCAAAATCATGGCAACTGTCTTGAGTAACAATAAAAGTGTTGTCTAATGAAAAAGGAGAACACATGAAAAAAGAAAAGAAAAGAAAAAAGAACTCATTCTTCCCTTTTCATTTAATGCATTGTTTGCAATTGCAAGGAACTCCTTTAGAAGTGATACCTCTAAAAGGTCGTAAGAGTGAAACCTTTGTAATTAAACCCTGATGCATGAAACAATATATTGCTTCATAGAGGAAAAAAGTTTCATTGTGGGTTCTTATATTATTGTCATTATTACACAACCAATGCAAAATTTGAGCAAGTTGAGTACACGATATGATGAGCTCCCCGTCCTCTCTGGACACAACCAGCTAGTGGTGGATTGTGATGTTCAAATCATTAACGAAAAAGTACAATAATTTGAGTCAATGTGATTTTCCTGCGATGAAATGCAGTTCTCCTTCACCAAATACTCTATTCGACTTTAGTTTCATTTTATCATCATCATTTTTTATTGAATCAGAGCATAAGCCTTGGCCAATGGGAAATCTGATCGAATAGCATAAGCCTTGCCAATAGCATAAGCCTTGGTTTGCTGCAATGGTGGTTTGAAAGGTTTGCTGCAATGGTGGTTTTTTAGTGTTAAGGACCAAATAGGGCCTCGATAAATTTGTCAGGGACCAAATAGGACCTTCAACTGTTCAAAACTCCAACAAGACATAAGGCACCTTCAAAACGGCGTCGTTTTACTTCCAAGCTGGCATACTTAACGGTGACTCAGCAAAGTAACGGTCCACGTGTGCACCGTTAGTTGGGCCGTTAGATGCCAACTAACGGAAGGACGAACGTGGCCCTTTTTTTCAAAGATGAAACACTGAAATGTGACTTTTTTAAACCGAGGGACTAAATTGTGCTTCGCAAATATTTCCAGGGACGAAAAAGGGTATTTACTCTAAATATAATTTATATCTTGTGTTACGATTTTACGATCCGTGTTACGATTTTACGATTTACGATTTTAGTTCATCCTTCCGAGTTTGTGTAGACTCTCGAGTTTCACAACCTTCTCCGATTTTAGCACCATGACTCCAATTCTGCGAAACCAGATTTCACATATTCAGCGTATTGACATTGAAAAAAAAAAGGAACTATTTAGCATCCATCATCCATGTATTAAGGTGAAAATATTTAAAAAGTCAAATATTTAAAATTTAAGTGAAAAGTGAATTTTAATTTGACAATTAAGGAACCTTCACAGCATTAACAATTTGAACTTGTTGAAAAGTATTTACAAGAGGACAATCTCAATATTTTGAGTCGAAATTAGTTTCCCATAGAAAAATATAAAGATACATTATAAGGTTAAAAAAATATATAAAAATGAATATTCAATTATTTTGCTAAAAAAAAACTTAAGTGAGGAAATGGTCGTTCCAATTCAAGTTAGCTCTCCGGGCTTAAAAAACAACCCCATTAACATGAAGGTCCTAAATTAGAAAACAAGTAATGCATGCGTCACATGCACACAAGAAAATGCTATCGATAACTAAGAAATTCCCATTCAACAAGTCTACCGTAAACACCTGTAAAGGTAATTTCAGTAATAGTCTATTTCTATCGTAACTAAGAAAACGCACACAATTATGTTTCTTTATATTTATATTACAATTTTGGCATACGGGTTTATGGATTTTATTCTCATCTGTGCATGTTGATTCCATATAGGGAAAGCAGATGGGACTTAAGACCAACACTTTTCAGGCTTGCTAGTTACATTTTTAGGTCTAAGAAGTTTATCCACCGTAAGAATGTTACGTCATATTATAGTAATTTTTGCCATTCATATTGTCCGGTCATTGTTGTTAAAATCTCGATTTCTCATTATGATTGTATATTTTTATGATTTTTTTTCATTAAAATATATTTTTTTTTTTTGGTACATTGCCAGGAGGTATCCCCATTCAACCTTCTCCGGGCACCATGTCCTCGGGGTACGGCCCGTTTGGGCTAGCCCCTCATTGTAACAGTGGGTGCCCCCAAAGATTTTCCAAGAAACTGCTTGAGGCAGGGTTTGATCCCTGCACCAAACAATCCCTTGGAAGCGCAACTGCCAACTGAGCTACCCTTGGGAGTTTCATTAAAATAATTTTACTATTATTTCAAACGCTTTTACGTTTTTACGATTTTTTTACACTACGATTTTGAATTTTACAATTTTTTAATCACCTTCTAATTTTACTTAAGATCTCAATTTTAACGACATTGATCATATATCGTATCACGATACAAATAGCAGCATATGCACAGGATCCAATAGACAGTAAAATAGGCCATAGTCATTTTCAAAGAGTATATTCTCTCGCACTAGATCTTGTATATAGCTCCCTTACACTATGCAGAATCTTGTACGAAAAATGTTCTTAGAAATCTGGTCAATAATTTAGTATAGAACTTGCTTTTATATTGTGTTCTTATAGTTTCAACACCTCTCAATTCATTTTAATCATAAAAATTACTGTAAGGAAGGTGATCTTCCTACTTCTACGAACAAATATCATCATCACAAATTAATCTCACCGTCCTCAAGATCCAAGGAAAATCTAAAGCAGCAACACAGTCAAAGCAATTGGAATTTCTGAAAGTTTCTCTTGATAACAGAAAGTAACCTAAGGCTCAACAACAATCAAATTGGTATCGCTCAAAAACAAAGTCACTCTCCAAATCAATCCCTCAGAAGAACCTTCTTATTAGGCTAAAATGAAGATAAAGCCTACTTCATATCCATTTTATTTTCTGCTGCAGTTGAAATTCAATATACAGACTACAAATCTACAATATCAAGGGGAAAAAATAAACAGTGACACGGATCCCTTTCATCAGTCCCTCAAAAGTTAAACAACACTAAAATAAAGATCATCTTTATCTTCTCTATTTATGTACTTGCTTCAACGCAACAACTAAACCAGTAATAGTGTGATTATGAGGGCCCACTTCAAAAAAATCTTAGGGGCCGTTTGTTACAAGGATTTTTTTAGGATTCTCGGGAAATTGAAAGTGGTAATTTTATTTATCCATGTTTGGTACAAGATTTTTAATTTTTTTTAGAAAATCTGATTTTCCCGAGATTTTATTTTGTGTGTAAATTTTTTAAAAAAACTATCCAGGAGATGGTATTTTAGGATTTCTATGGCATGAGAAAATTTAATACAGCTAAACATAACATCAAGAAAACTAACGCAATATTCTCGGGAATATGTTAGTCTACCAAACAACTGTTTGATAACATTTCCAGAAAACTCATTTTCTCAACATATTCCTGGAAAATCGTGATTCCCGTATAAAAAAAATTCTCCTCTACCAAACCTCCCCTTAGTTCTTCAGTTCTGATCCCAACAGGAGCAATCTACCTTGCCAACTAGAGACAAACAGAGTAAGAGATTGAAACATCAGACTCACTGATTCTTTATCAAAGCACACCCAGTAAAGAAAAACATGGTGAAGAGTCATCTAACATTGAATAGTAATGATCAAGTTATTGCTGCTGCAACTCAGTGAAAGCTTCTCGGACCCATCTTTGCTAAGGTGCGAAGTTGAGGTTCTGATAAGCGATGGTGTTCAACTCGTCGCTAACACAAATTGTTGAAGAGGGTTTGTTGAATTGGGGTGAAATGGGTATTAGATAGTTTAGTGAGTGCGAGTGCGAGAAGGGGCAGAGGCTCAGTGATTGGAATTTGAGTATCGCATAGGGTGATGGTGAATCTACCAGAACACAACAAAACTAGGGTGGTTTTGAGCATGAGCTAATTACTTGGTGACTGTTGCAAAGGGGAAAAAGATTTTCCCGAGAAAATTGTGTATTGTGACGGAAAATGAGTCTGTTTGATGAAAAGAGAGAGAAATGAGTTGAATTTTTTTTTCGTAAAGTATTTTTTGGGTCCTTAACAAAATTATGGGACTCATTTCTTAGGAAAATAAATCAACTTACGGTCCTTCTAAAATTCAAAATAGACCAGTTAGTCGAAATTGTGATCTCTCTCAAATTTAAAGAAGACCCACAATAGTCTCTTAAAAGGACTAACATGGGTCTATTTTGAATTTCTGAAAGACTACAAGTCGACTCTTTTTTAAGGAATTAAATTGGGACCCGTGATATTTGTTGAGAATCCAAAAGGTACCTTACTCTCTCTCTTTTTATAAATTATGCGTATCCTCGTTGCTCTTCGGAGAGGTTCAAAATTGAGATTTTATATCCCTTTCAAAGATGGTATTGGATAAGATCGAATATATATTTGTATTCCTATATGCTCAGCTCTCATGCACTAATTAAACAATCATTATTTACTCTTAACCTGCACTTGCTCGACTCTCATATATTAACTGAACTAATGTGAGTTGAATGTTTTTCATCCACGGCATGCCCTAACCTAACTAATAAATGGATTGGACCTAGGAAGAGGGCTACAAAAATTAATTGGGCTTTGAACGGGCTGGCCCTAAGGCTGTGGTCTTTTTTGACAGGTCTATATGGGCCAAAATAAAACGAACTGCAAGTGGGACCTATCATGAGCCCAATGAAAGAGTCATTTTCCATTTTATTCAACTGGAAAGTGAAGACCCAAACTCGGTTTTCATCTTTGTTCACGAATCCTCCTTTTGCGTGTGGTTTCTGCACTCCGGTGAATGGTGATGGTATCACAGTTATAACAAACAGCAAAATGAAACCCTCAAACAAAGAGAAACAATGAGCATATAATACTTTATTCAAAGATAGATATCATCTTCAAATACCACGTCGTTTGAGGTTCACCTTCCTCAACTCTCATGCTTTTTACTACCACATTTTCAAATTAACAACCTATGCAGTTTCATTTCTATTATATATATATATATATATATATATATATGTTTAGGTCTTGGAAGCTTGGTTTGGACTCAACTCAAGTTCAAAACCTGCAAAGTACAGAAGAATTTTTATTTTTTATTTTTTATTTTTTCTCGCATAAAAACAGAATAACAGTGGGGAAATTAAAGGTGTGTTTCTTTCTTGTGTAGAAATTGTGGCCTTCATTGAAAAGTATAAATGTGAAATACAGTAGAAATTAAATTATTTCCAAACCTAATAAATGGGAATAAAATGGAAAGAAAGATGAATGCAATTGTATAGTGTATTAGGTTTCTCAAACTAGGTAATTTGATATAGTAGATTATTTTTGGATGTGGTGTGGTGTCTCTCAGGTTGGAGATTTTAAGCATAAGAAGATGTCTCTTAGAATAAAGGCAGTGGTAGATAAGTTTGTTGAAGAGTTGAAGGAAGCATTAGATGCTGATATTCAGGATAGGATCATGAAGGACAGAGAGATGCAAAGTTATATTGAAGAACGTGAGCGTGAGGTTGCTGAGCGTGAAGCTGCTTGGAAGGCTGATCTTTCTCGTCGTGAGGTACTACCTACGCACGCATTTCTCTCAATTTCTTCATTTTTGTTTTTAATTTAATGTGCATTTTTGCATTTCCTTTACTGGATAGAGGGGCAAAGGATAATAATGAAAAAAATGCAAAAAACCTGATCTCGTTTATGTAAAATAGCATATATTTGTTATTGCTGGTTGAATACTCAACTTTTTGGACTATTATAGCTGCTCCCCCTCCACACATTGAGTATGGTTTTCTGTCATTTACATTTACAAGACTTTTTCTTTCTTTTTTTAAAGAAGGAATTGTTGATAGTCAAGTGGAATTAATTGTGTTTTTGATACGTTGGAAATGGAAGCTATGATCTCTGACTCCATCTGAGCTAATTCCGGGTGGAGTGGAATTGATTATTTCTCATTTTTATTCATACTAATACTGAATAATTATTGGACTCTCTCCCCTTCAATGTTTTCTCATTTACAACCATTCAGCCCGTCACTGCTGAGAGAAGTTGAACCCAAATTATACTGTTACTCTTACTGTAAGGTTATAGTCTATTCGCAATAACTCATCAAAAGTGCTAATGGTTGTAAAATGCTGTTTATGATTGATGAAATATAATGAGTACTGTTGCTCCTATTTTAGTTTGTTAGATAAACGTTGTGTTAGATTCCTTGTATCTGCTAAGCATTATAGTCATTGTGCATGATTATGGCTTAAATCAGTAGGTAGTTCCCAATTCATCTAAAAACGAACAAAATGGGAATGTTACGGTATTCTATTTTTAAATGTTTTTCTGTAGATTCTTGAACTTTTGTTTACTTTGCAATGTTTTATAATTTTGTTGAATTTGTTCCCTCAAACTTCTATTCACAAGGATGGGGGGCAACTGCACTATACAATATTTTTCCCTTCATTACTGTAATTTTTTAATCATGTCCCCTCTCTGATAATTTTACACTCTATATGTGATTAAGTACGTATTTTGTACACCCTCCTAAAATTTTCTAGTTCTGTCTGTGGCATCCTATGATCATATGGATAAATTTAAAATGTTCAAGGAAGTAGAGAAAGGAGAAAGTAATATCAGTAACAATGCCAATATCACTTGACTTTACATTTGGTCTAGAATCTAGATGTAGCTCTTTTTTTTTTTATTTCTGAATTGTGAGCATACATTACTTTGGTAAGTATCTATATTACCTTGCAGGCCTGCTTTACTGAGAAATGATTGTATCCTGGATGAGTACTGATTTTCTTCTTTAGGTGAATAATTGACAAAGTGAAATGCAGTGAATTAATTTGAGGTTGATGGTACCAGATAGTTTGATATTGATGCAATTTTAATGAACTGCTTCTGAAATTGAAAAGAGAAAGCAGAGTGGGTTTTAGGCACTCACTAGTTATTATACGGATAAATGATTCTATAACTATCACAATCTGAATAAAAGATGCCTAATAGCCCCCAACTTGGTCTACTAAGTGTTTGATACATGATAAAACCCTTAAAGGGAGTGATGGCTCAACTAATGATTGTGTAACAAATCTAGAGTCTAGATATAAACAAAATACCCTCTTGGAATTTAAAGCTAGACATAACAAGTATAACTGAAGCAGTTGCCTCGTGGTAGCATTTTAGAATTCAGAAAGAAAATCATGGAAAGCGAGAGAAAGCTAGAGAGAAGTTTCTGGAGCATTTATGTCATTGCATGTCAGAGAAAAGAGTAAAGTTAAATTTGTGTTCTGATGCATGCTCCATAGCAATGAGTCACTAAGCATCTCATAACACTAATAAACTGAAATCAGTTATTTATCCTAACAATTAATGAGCCAAGCTCTACTGTACACAGGAGTACAGTAACGCGATACATCACTAAACCTAAAGGGCACTAAAGTAAAGTTACACTAATATTGCAAGAACAGAATAAATATGTAATTTGAAGAATGAAAATAAGAGTTAAGAAGTGATATAGTCAGCCTTTAGAATTTGAATTATGCCCTGATACCTTATCTTAAAGTTCAAATTCCTTTTCCCTTTGAATCTGCCTTTGGTATTTTGTTGCAGTGATCGATGTTCTTGCATTCAATAATAAGATGCTCACCAGATGCACCTTTCTGCCGAATTGTTTTCTCCTTAGACTAGAGCATTATATTTTCCAGGCACTTGCTCTCGACACAGCACTTATCTAATATTCAGTTCTGTGTAATAACTAATAATTTGCTTCACACAGGTTCCAGGGAACCCACTTTTTAATGTTTTGTAAATATTTGTGCTATATTACTAGTGAGGCAGAAATGTTGTTGCATTTTTTTAAAAAATAAATAAATAAATAAATTGACTTAGCATTCTAAGAATATTTTTATTTATCATCCTGCTATTAGATAAAGTTTTTCCTGTTTAGTGCTCCTCAATTTTTTTTTTGTTCCAGGCAGAGATTGCTCGTCAAGAAGCAAGGCTCAAGATGGAGAGAGACAATCTTGAGAAAGAGAAAAGCGTCTTGATGGGAACTGCATCAAATCAAGATAACCAAGATGGAGCTCTTGAAATTACAGTAAGTGGTGAAAAATACCGTTGCCTCAGATTTGCCAAGGCAAAAAAATGAGGCTTTGCCTGGGGTGACATGAAGGAAAAGTAGGTTCTACACTCCCTAACCCCAAATGAGGAGCACTTGCATGCAATGCCAAGCTCAATTCATGTACATTTGTTGAAATTCAACTGTTTAGTTGTGGTTTATTATTCCTCTCAGATTTGAGAAAAGTGTTAGTAATTGCTCAATTGAATTGTTTACATGAAAATTTTCTCTGTCATGATATTGGTGCTTTGTTTAGTTGAAAATGTTTTTGGGTAAATTATTTGCAACATTCGCTAAACAAGTTACCAATTTTAATGTTATGCGTAAAGTTCTTGTAACTTTTATACTGAAAGTATGCAACTTATTTTTTTCATTGAAAAAAGAAAATCATATACAAAGTGATAATACTTTCCACCTGGATGTAATAGTGAAGTTAAAAATAAGTTACAAGAATTTGAACATGTTGAAGGTTAGTTTCGAATTAAGGGCCTGTTTGGATGGGCTTTTGAAAAAAAAGGACTTTTTATATATTGCTTTTTCAAAAAGTTTTTTTTTAAAAGTCAAAGTTATTTTGTGTTTGGATGTAATATTTGAAAAATGCTTTTAAGCAAAAAAAAAATGATATTTGGGTGTTAAAATAAAAAAGCACTTATTTCTTTGGGTCATTTTATCAAACACTCACGATGACCGTTGAATCTGCCTCAGCCACTCACACAAGGGATGGCTTTGTTCCTTCTTCTCCTCAGCAGCACCCAATCTTTGATTCAAGCACCAGTGATTCAAAAGCTCAACACTTTTTTTTCTCTTTATCATTCTATTTGTATCTTTCAGACCAAACATGGGTTTGGTGTTTCCTTCATTCTCCCCTCATTGATTTCATCACATCAACCATCACCAACCAGGCAACCACCCCATCCTCTCTCTCTTCCTCTCTCTTTACCTGTGACTTTTGTGTGGGAGTTCCAGAGAGCAAGATACTGGAACAAGGTGGCTACCATGAAAGAAGATTTTTTTTTTTTTTGGATAACAACGAAAATTAAAGACAGAAAAAAAAAAAAAGACTAGATCCTAACTAGTCTAGGCATAGCAATGCCCCTTGAGTCGCGAGCTACAAGGCTGCTGCATTCAAACAGAGGTGTATCAAAAAACAACGATGAAGATGGAAACAACGAAGGAAAGCACTGGATGATAAGTTGCTTCTAACTTCTCCTTTTTGCAAAAGTCAGAAATTTTGGCTTTTACAAAAAGCAGTATTTTAACTTTTTCCTTAACTTTTCCTTTTTTTTAAAGTTAGTTTCCAAACACCAAAAAAATTACAAAAGCCCTTTTTTTTTTATGAAAAAAGGACTTTTAGGAGGAAAAAAGTCAATCCAAACATGCACTAAATTGTATTAAGAATTTTACAAATCAAACCAAATCAAAATGAGGATCGAATCAAACTAATCATGACTCAAGTTATTTGGTGTTTTAAGTTTGACTAAAATACTGTCAACGTTGAACTTAATGTGTATAGTTTCCGTGTTTATTCATAATGTAAGTTTAATTGAGTAATTTTAAAGAACAACTCAAGCTATTGAACAACGAAAAAGAATACCATACGATGATCATTTTAAGATAAATTAGGATTCTGTACACCTACTCCAAATGCTCCTCATTTGGTTTGTTTTTTAATTGACTTACAATGCTAACTAGAAAAATGATATATGGATGGGTATGACATAACTAGATCAGTTTCCGCACGACCCTCAAATATCTCGAGTGTTAATGGGGAACTTTCTGATTTGAAACCTATTTTGTAGTTAGCTTCCGTGGGGTGTGTGCCGGTTTATATCCACAACATAGTTGTTTCCTCAAGTAGGTCTAGCATGTGCTTTTCAAAAAGAAAGAGAAATGCCCTTTTTGGTTCTTACTATTTTCATTAAGCTGCCAAGATTTTTTACCTCAAACACATCTGCTAGAGACTTATTTAATTTGTCAATCTCATCAATATGGTCTCCAATGATCACAAAAATTTTCTACATAGACAATTAATATTGCCAACTTTGGTCTAGAACTATCTAAACAAACAAGTGTAATCAGTTTAATATTATTTGCATCCTTGAAATTGGACTGCGTTAGTGCATTTTTCAAACCAAATCCCTGGTATTGAATTTGTGAAGTTTACAAATTTTTTAAGACCTATTTGTTGTGAATTTTCGAGATATTTGGAATATTATGCGGATTGCAATAGTGATATTGCTGCAAATTATAATAATTGAAAAGACAAGAATAAACATGTTTCACCCAAAATCAGGCTATGTTTACGGGAGATACCAAATTCATTATAAGAAATTTCAAAATAGACAATATACAACACTCAAAAATTTTCCTAAATTCAAGAATCTCATATACATCATATCATTATTTCTCGTACAATTGGATTTTCTCCTCTCTTTTTTCTCTCTCAAATAGCTCACTCACTCAAGCACATCAATACAATATCTTTTTCTAAAATTAAGAACTAATGTTACTCTAGCCAATAACAAGGGAGCTAATCAATTTATCGTTATTTCCAATAATAACTGAGTCAATCAATTCTCCATTATTAACGATAATGGAGCCAATTAATTTACCGTAACAACGGAATCAATCAATTTTCCATCAAAAAATGATTCAAGCAAGAGTTTACTGCCCATTAACTTTTGGCTTTAATGCTCACAATCTCCCACTTGAAGTCAAAAGAAAATTTATGTACTATTTGTGCTCGTCTTCTTCTGTGAATACCACTCCCACTTGACCAGAATTTTCATGAGCAACTATTAAGCAAAGAGAAAATAAAACATTGACCTTCAAAAACAACTACATATCAGAAAATAAAACATTCTCTGATAGCTTTAAAGTCTAGTGCCACTAACTTCTCCGTTTTTCAGAAGCAAAGCTGCTCTTAACGGCAAAAATAATGCACTCTATGGCTAATTCTGTGTTTTCTAGTATGTAAGTTGTTGCCTACTCTCTTCCTTACTTTAGCAAAAACTTATTTAATTGATGGTAGTGGGCGTGTGACCATGATCCTACCTATGGTAGCATATCACACTGCAATTAAAGGCGCTATAGGAAGTTGTAAATCCTCTCTTTCTCCACAATTTGCTTATAAGTGGTTTGTTGGTTCATTTATGATCTTCATATGGATCAAGTTGCTATCAGCACTTCACTAAGGCATTATAGTACCTAGTAACATTCTTTTCTCCCTATTTCAGATCCTTCAATATACCTTTTATCTGGAACAAGGCAGCACTGTTGTCTACTATGGAATAGGATTAGATTGTTCTCAGCTTTTCATGTCTAATATTTCGAATCAGAGTTGCCTGGTTCGATAGCATCTCCAGTTTGGGACCATATTAGATAATTGTTCCATGCATGGCAGGAGGTGGGCGACATTTGACATGTTGTCAGATAGAAATTTCTGTTTTCTCTGTATTCTTTATTAATCAATTTCATGAAGATGGCTACAATTTTAAGGGTGTTGTCCCTATACAAATTTGGCCAATCAAATTTCATGATTTTATTAAATAAAACTAGAATAATCTAAGCAAGGTAACATAATATTTTGAAGTTGACTAATCTATGGGCCTAATCACATGAGAAAGCAAAAAAACCAGAATAAATAGAGTAAATCCCTGTGCACAAGACTTCTCGACTACTTGTGAGGGTAGAGCTGAGGGTCACGTAGCCTTATTTTTGCATTTTGCAAAGAGACTATTCTTCTGATCATAAGAAACAACTTTACAGCTGCTACAAGGAATAATTCAAAAATTAAATCTACCCAAACTAAAAAATAAATGCAGAATAAGTCAAAATGAATCAGGCAGAGAATCGCATATGCCTGACAATACTTTTGCTATATTCATTCTCTCTTTTTTATTTGTACAACTACAGTTGAAACCTGAAGTAATGATCCCACTTTACTAATTTCTTAATGGGTTTCAACTAAATCATGATTGAAAACAACCCTATTACTGCAGCATATTTTGAATGGTGTTAACAATGGATTGGGGACTTAAAGTAGCATCAACTCTAAGAATTCCCTCAGACTCATCAATCTTAAGCAAATCCAACTGAGATTGCAGAAGAGATGCAGGCATATAATGTTTTCCTTCTGCAGCTCTCTTATTTAACCGAAGGCTTAGCACTTCAGCAGGAGCATCCAACAGAATGAAATTAACAGCACTTGCATAACTCCCCCATTTATAATCAGGGTCACCTGATCTAAGTATTTCTCTATATTGCTTCTTCAAAGCAGAACAACCAAGAATAACACCCTTTTTGTTAATCAAGCTTTCTCTTATGGCATCCCTTAGTGATTCAAGCCATGGCATTCTGTCTTCATCTGTAAGTGGGATTCCCATACGCATCTTTTCTGTTTGTATTTAGAAGAAAAACAAATAAAAACAAAGTCCTTTGTTGAGGTAACCAAAGAGCCTATAATATATTATAAGCCAAAAATGCATTGAATTTGTGTGATTTTGTGCATACTCTTAAATACACACCTTTGTTTGATTCAGAATGAAAATCATCAGCATCAAGATACTTAGATTTCATCTCTCTTTCCAGCCTCCGACCTATTGTGCTATTCGAATAAATATCCAATTATAAGTTATAGGTAATAAATAAATAAATAAATAAAAACAATTGGTCCAACAGAGCAAAATAACATGATAACAAAATGAAGTGTTTTTTTGGATGGATTGGACACTTACGTTTTTCCGGCCCCGCTTACTCCCATGATTATGATAACTGCGCCTATCAAAACATATGTGCAAGAAAGACGAGAGTTTTCATTTTCAGATGTGAAATTGATTTGTATATGAAATGAAAAAGTAGAATGAGGAAGACAATTGTAAATCATTTACCTTTGCTTGAAGCCATATCTATGTATTGGATGCAGAGATCAAAAATGGCGTATTTTGACTTTTGAGAAGTGAGAATTTGAGAAATAAGAACTGAATGCGTAAAGACAAATGGAAAAATTCAGAATCACATCTCTTCTGTCTAAGAGACAAATGTATAGCCCATTGGGCTAGTATATTACTTTTGGATCTGGCTGCAGTTGATATCTTTGAGTCAAGCGTTAAGTAGATCATTGTGCACTGGCTTTGCTGAGGAATGTGTGTACACACTGACAAACATAGTAAGAATAAGTTTTATCCCTTATTTATAGAGTTTACTTGTTGATATTGAATTTTGGACCTTCAGTTCTTGTCCAAGCCCATGTGTCATGTTGTTCTGTTGTATTATGATTGATATCTTTGATAAATATCCTTCTTTAATTATATCTGATTAATAATTTTAATTGCCCTTTGTTGGGCTTATAAGTGGATGAGTCTCGTATATAAGTCTATAACAACATCTGTAGCCATCGTCATTTAATTCCACCTAAACAAACAAGGAAAAAAGACGTGTAATTTTAAAATAATACAAGTTGTGTCATTATATATACACAAAGAGATGAGACTCACAGGAAATAAATAAATAAATAAAGATTATACTTACAACCTATTTTTATTTATAAATATTATTTTCACGAATCAAATTTATTAATTCACAATAAATGATAAAGTTAATCGTCAGAAACAATTGTTAAAAAATAGTTGTAAGATGTAAAAGAAAGTAGATTATAAGTATAATTTTCCTAAAAAGAAAATGTTAGACATATATCTTTTATGTGGGACCAACAATCTGTGTCATTTAAATTGACACATTTTTTCACGAAATTAATAAATAAGGTAAACGTGTAAGCACTTACGTGCCTTAGCAGAATTTTACTCTCTATTGCAGCTATTGCAGTGTCGTTGGTGGATAAGCTTCGGAAAATATATCTATTTTTACTATCTTTAATTTTTTTTTTTTTTTTGGTAGGCTAAAGGGCAAAGCCCCAGCAGAAAAGAAATTACAAAGAAATTAAACGAGAAAAACTAACATAAGCTAAATCAGCTACAAATAAACTTCTAATTCCAGAAGGAGGAAAGTGATAGAACCGGAAGCCAGCATCATGAGGATGATCCAAAGGATAGTTGGAGAGCCAATCTGCGCAAATATTACCCTCCCTATAGACATGTAACAATTGAATCTGTCAATCTCTTTTCAACCATGCCCGTATGCGAGTCAACAAATGAGACTCACGGGCTGCATCACTAGATTTAGTGAGCACCGTGATTGCATATAACGAATCACTTTCTACAATTATTTTCCTGTAACCTCTCTCCCAAACTAGCTCCAAACTTTCAAGAATTCCCCAAAGCTATGCAAAGATGGCTGAACAGACACCAATACCATAAGAAAACCCACCACACCAATTACCAGAGGCATCTCTAAAAACCCCGTCACAGGCTGCCAAACCAGGATTACCTCTTGAAGCCCCATCTGAATTTATTTTATCCATCCTTCATCGGGAGGCTTCCAAGTAATGTGAATACGCTGATTAATCTTAACCATTATGCTATCTCTTCTAAGTTGAAAAGCTCCGCGCACCTCCCTTAAGTAATGATGAATTTGTTGGATATTATATGTAAGTGAGGGCGGATGATGATTATGAGCTAACTCATTTCTCCACTTCCATAAAAACCAACAAGTTATCAAAAAAACGGTGTGCCAAGGAACCTACAAAATAACAAAATTATTATTTAAAAATTTAAATAACAACCAGTTATCAACTTCTTCTTAGAAGAAACTGTCCTGGATATTCAATGGGACAAGTTTTTTCCAAATATCTCTGGCTTTTGGACAATCCCTCATAGCATGAATAAGGGTTTCAATATCTGATCCACAAACTGGACAAATTGGACTCACTCCTCCCCAAGCAGCACATCTATGCCGAGTTAGAAGTCTTTTGTGAAAAAATTTCCAGCCAAAAAACTTTACTCTTTGCGGACCACTCCAATTCCAAACTTTTTTCCAAGGGAACGCATTAACATTAGAATCCATTCGAGAGGTAGACAACACCAAATACACTCCTTTTACTGAGATATTAGCAAACCCAAGAATATGCCATTGTAACCAGTCCTGGCCATCCGAGGGATCAGGGGGAAGACAACTCAAGCACATCCAAATACTCATTTGGATGAATTGTCTGTAAAAGATTAACATTCCAAGAACCAGATGGAGAAGTATAATCAATAATGAATTTTTTCTTCTCACTATCAGATATACTACCACTGATTTCATCAACCTCAATAAGAGGTTTTCCAAATGGATTCCACGCACCCTTCCAGAAATAAATCGTAGTACCATCACCTATTTCCCACCTTAAATTCTTTTCCATCATTTTCCAAACTCTGCACAAATTAATCCACAAACGAGAATCACCCAATTTACTAGTAAAAATATCTTGACTTCTTCTTCCACTTTTGTATTTAGAAAGAATTACTTGGACCCATAAGGACTGGGAATCTGATTGAATTTCCCATGCAAGTTTAGCAAGAAAAGCATCATTCATTATGGCTAAACTTTTAAGACCAAGACCCCCTAACTATTTCGATTTTTTCATGGTCTCCCAACTGATAGGATGATGACTCCTCATCTCGAGACTACCCTATATAAAATCACATTGAAGCTGTTCTATCTCATTACAGATTGAGATTGGAATTTTCCCATGTTGCATATGAAAGTAAGGAATAGAAGAAATGATTGATTGTGATAAAATTACCCTTCCTACTTGAGAAAGGCAACTTGATTTCCAAGAATCTAATCTCTCCTTAATTCTATCCACCACCTTGGCATATAACTGACGAGAAACTCGACCATGTTGCATCCAAGCACCAAGATATCTACCCATATTCCTTACTCTTTTAAACCAACTGATCTCAGTAATTTCATTAGCTATATGATCTGGAGTATTCTTGGAAAAAAAGACAGGTTTTTTGCGTACTAACCTTTTGGCCTGAGATATCACCAAAAAGATTAAGACACTTCATGATAATTTGCACTTGCTCAGAAGACGCTTCAGCAAAAAGCATCAAGTCATCTGCAAAAATTAAATGAGAAATTCTTGGCCTTTGTTTTCCCACTCTGATAAGATTCCATAAGCCTCCATCAACTGTTGTATTAATAATATGCGATAATTTCTCCATGGCAAACACAAAAAGATAAGGTGAAATCGGATCACCTTGTCTAACTCCTCTAGATGGCCGGAATTCCCCCATCTTTTCACTATTCCATAAGACATTGATACTAGCAGATGTGACAGTTGACCAAATTAGTTGAATAATTTTCGACGGGAGATGCATTTCTTCCATAACTTTACGAAGGAAATCCCAACTAAGTCTGTCATAAGCTTTCTCCAGATCAATTTTTACTGCCATAAAATGTTTCTCTCCCCTCATTTTATGCATAATATTTACTAGTTCCGGCACCACAATAATAGTATCTTGAATGTGTCTATCCGGAATAAAACTTGTTTGTACTGGAGAAATCATTTTCCCCATAATTGGTTTGATTCCTTGCACCAGTATTTTTGTGACAAGTTTGTAGAGGACTGTACACAAACATATAGGCCGAAATTGAGACATGTAACTCGGTGTTTGGACTTTTGCAGTTAAAACAAGCAAAGTGGAATTAATACTCTCCAACAGGAAAGGGTCATCCCAAATCGACATGATTTTATTGTAAACCTGATCTTCAAGCCTTCTCCAATTTCTGTGGTAGAAAACAACAGGATACCCGTCACTTCCAGGATCTTTAAGGCCACCAATCGCAAACATGTTGCACCAAATTTCTACCCTTGTCGGTCTTTGACACATATTAGCTACCTCCGAGCTAGAAATATCTCCCCAAAGATTCTCAGAGGAGATCCACCTCCGATGAAAAACTTCTTCAGTAAATAGAATTTTATAGAACTCAGAAGCCATTAAACGAAGCTGACCCAGATTGTCAATCCACTGATTAGCTGCATTTTTCAGCCGTCCAATCTTGTTAAAACTTCTCCCTGTGACTGTGCATGCATGATAAAATTTAATATTCCTGTCTCCATCGAGTATCCACTGGTGACGAGATTTCTGATACCACAACAATTCTTCTTGCTCTAGGATCAATCTCAACTGGAACTGAAGATCCTCCTCTACGTCCTTCAGACTACCCGTATCTTGACTTGATCTGGAAATTTGAGTCATTTCTATCCTGTTCAGTAAGATATCTTTATTACGATGAATATTACCAAATACATGCTTATTCCATAAGCGAAGATGAGGAATGAACTGATTTAACATCTCAAAAATATCAATATCTGACTTTCATGCTCTGTTCATAAGATTGGAAAAATCATGATGATTCAGCCAACCAGCTAAAAAAAGAAAAGGCCTTAAATGAAGGTTCTGGTTTGCAGATGAAAATTTAACCAAAAGAGGACAGTGATCCGAATTTAATCTAGGGAGAGAGTTTCGCATCATCAAAGGCTAACCTCCAAGCTAAATTAGCACAAACTCTATCCAAACGTTTATAGATCCTATCAAGATGGGGCCATTTAGGACCCTGCCATGTAAAGAAAATACTTGAACAACCTAAATCCATTACCTGACAATCTTCCAAGACATTTAGAAATCTGTGACACTTATTAGGATCTACAGGGTTACCTCCTTTCTTCTCAGTGACATGAGCAATTTCGTTGAAATCACCTAACATGATCCATGGATCCCTGATATTAACACTCAACCTCCTCAATTCGCTCCAAAGGTCCAGCCTGTTATGCTCTTGGGGACTAGCATAAACTGCAGTGCAAAAGTAGCTTTTAGAATTATGCTTCTCAACTTGGACATGACAAAATTGTGGATTCATTTTACACAGAACCACACTAGTAACCTGTGAAGACCAAATAAACCAAATACCCCCTACAAACCCTCTGACCTCCTCAATAATGCAACTGCTAAACTTTATCTTTCGCATCAATTTTCTACAATGATCACCATTTGTTCTTGTCTCCAACAATATAAAGATTTCTACTCTATATTTATCCCGAAGAAGCTTTAAGGTACGACCTAAGTCTCTCTTGGCCACCCCCCTAACATTCCACACTAAGATGGACATTGAGAACTTTCCACATTTGTCGCAGGGTCAACCTCCTGCATTTGAGTATCGTTAGGTAAGCTACCTGGAAGACGAGATTGCTAAAATTGTGGGATCTTCATCTGCAGTACTTTTTTTTCATCGGAATTATAATCAGGTGGTTTTGGTTGGATTGGGTTGGAACTTGAAACAACCAGGGCCAAACTATTGTTTAGTGTTTGATCCCTAGATTGATAACTTCCATGTTGATCCTCATACATGGGCCTGGGATGATCCACTCCTACCTGGAAATTATTCATATCAGATTCCTTAATCACTTCCTTGGAAACACTCACCCTATTTGTCTTTTTTCCACGAGCATACTCATGATTTCCTGATACTGTCGTATTATTTGCATCTTTTTGATCATTTCGAAGTTGTCCCTTACCACTCACATCCCCAACTACTTTATAAGCAGTAGGAGTTTCAATCACCATTATTGACCTTTTGTCCTTTTCTTTCACGTGGGCAGCATGTTGAACGAGGGCAGTTTTGTCTTCTACATACCCACTATTGGAATTAGACACTCCTGCATGCATACGATGCTCTTCCTCGATTGATACTCCTTTAAGCTTCTCATATCTACCTGATGAATGAGTAGAGGAATTAATATTTTTTGTAGCTATTCCTCTGTTTCCCTGTCCTTCTGTATTCGTATTTCTTTTTCCTTTCTTGGTTCTAGAAACCAACGTACGGCCCATACTGACTTGGCATTTGTCTATTATTAGTAACCATCTTCTGATTTGAAACATCATTGTATATTCCCTCATTCCCTTCCTCAGTAACTCTTTCTTGATTGGTTTCATGCACATCATTCTTAGAGCACGTATCAATTTTGTGCCCATATTGTCCACAAGTATAGCAAATCAGATGTAAACCTTCGTATTCAATCTTTTTAGTTCTACCATCAATTATATATTCTGCCTACAGTGGTTTATTCAAGTCTAGCTCCACACACAAACGTGCAAATCTTCCTCTGGCTAAATTGGTAGTTTCCTGCTCAACTTTGATGAATTTCCCTAGCCAGTTACCAATAGATTCCACCAAGTTTGTGCCCACATTTTCAATTGTAAAACCTGGAAGTCTAATCCAAGTTGTCACCCTATCAATGGCAGATCTGGTAGGATCGAAATCAGGTTCCCATAAACGTAAAGCAAGATAGTGATCGAAGATCACCCATGGTCCTGTAGATAGGGCAATCTCCATGTCTTCTTTCTTTTCAAATCTAACCATCATGTAGTCATTTTTGATATCAGTTATATAAGTCTTTCCATCCATCGCCCACATATTTTCCAGTCTACGTCTCATAAAAGCCAGTGAAACCTTTTTTCCTAATAGTTTCACTATTAGGGTTCTCCTCCAAGGCCTCCAAGCCTACTTTTTAAAATTATCTGATAACTTAAAGTTCATACAGCCATCACCATGAACTTCCATCGTGATCTCAGGATCTTTTAACTTTTCAACTTGCATGTTACCAACCTTCTCATCCTCTAAATCCACCTCATCATCATCAACATCTAGATCATCATCAGGCGACCATTCTCCGTTGTGCTTCATTAGGATTTCCTTCCAAGAAGTATTTCCATTCATCCATTCTTCCTCCCTCGTGATCATAGATTGATCATTGCTAAATTCTCCTTCACCTCCTTTGTATTTTTTTGTACTCCGTTGAAGATTATCCATCTCTTCTGTTGAAGTTGCTTGGCTGGCGGCAAGGTTCATCGAAAACCCTAGCAGTGTGAAATAGTGTTTTACGCATACTATCTTTAATTTTGATTTGTCAGACTCTCGCTGCGCTAAAAAAAATGACTCCTTAATGCATGTTTAATTTTTTTTTTAAAAGTCAATTTTTTATTTTTATTTTTTTTATAAAAAAATTCTCCACATGAAATTTTTATTATAAATTATTTTAAACATAAAATAATCTAATTCAAATACACACTTAATAAATCAGATAGATGAACTTTAATTTAAAATTTTGATGTCATTAGAAATAAATCTTCAAAATAAAGAAAGTTCATCATTCCATTGACTACAAACGCAAAATACAAAATCAAATAGTGGGTTGAAGATATTATTAGAGGGTTTAGATTGATTACAAGGCGCAAGATAAGTTAGGAGGATATAACCCATCTCTTCCATTTCAATGAAACATGGCTTCAATAGCAGTTAGGGGTTCAAAACGGGTCGACACGATACAAATATGATACGACATGAGTATATACAACACGAATAAGATACAAATTTTTATTCGTGTCTGAACATTCGACACGAACACGACCCGCAAATTTTGTAGATTGACACAATACAATACGAATGACACACAATCAAAATGGTGATTAACCAAAAAATTATAAATAAAAAAAAAAGAAATATAGGTCGAATTCGTGCTGACATGACACAAATTTTTGGTGTGTTATGTTTTCCCAACACGAACACGACATTAATTTTTTTACGGGTCAACCTGAACACGAATTAATTTTTTTACGGGTCAACCTGAACACGAATTAATTTTTTTACGGGTCAGCATGAACACGAATTTTCATATTATATCCGGGTCGACGAACGTGTCGTAACCTGTTTTGACACCCCTAATAGCATTGATAAGTTCAAGCGATGTCTCCTTAATCAATGGTCTTTGGTTTTATTTATTCTTTCTAGATGGATAAGTCCAATTAAGACGTACGGTACGTAAGTTCAATTTTATTTTTATTTTGGAAATTGTTCCAAGGGTATTTTCGAGCCGAAAGTCAAGGACTAATTCCCTCGAAACGGAGAGATCACGCGATAGTGAGTATAGTCTCTCCTAACAAAACCTTTTCTATACACATGATCAGAGATCGAACCCCTGTCAGTATGCTTAAAAAACCCAGCTATCTATCAACTTTGTCGGACTTTGTCGGTACATAAGTCCAATTTGAATAAATAATATCATACACACTTACATTCATTACTTCATAATTTGTAATATTTATTATGTAATTATGTTTAGTTTAACTTCGATTTCGGTTCTAATTCTTCGCCAGTTGAGGTAATGTTAGTAGTTAGTACTAATGGACAACAAGCATTTTTCTTTGCAATTTATTAGAAAATATCAAAATAGATTCCGAGTTTCAAAATTACCATTCGTCATGACCAAACAGCCTAGTTAAGAACTCAGAGAATGGCCATAACTTTACACGGCTATTACAAATCTTGATAAACTTCCTAATTTTAGCCGGTGACAAATTACAGGCTTCCATTTTTTTTCCTAATATTGAAGTTAGAGCTTATTCTTAATGCTTTATTATAAACTACCTTCCTATGCCAATACATTTACGAGTCAGAATATAATTGAAAAAATATATCTATGGCTTTACTGTCGAGCACAAAAGCCTAAGGTATTAGTTGAAAATATAAATTATTTTTAATATATTCCTTATAAAGAGCCTATTAAACTTAAAAAGGTAAATAATGCAGAGGTTTATTTTGAAGAATTTCATAATCGGTGATACTATCCAAAACATAACAAGTTTGACACTAGTCTCAAATGATCTATCCATTTATATTATATTCGTAAGTATGAAAAATATTATATTTACAAAATTTTTGTTTACAAACTCTTATAAATTATATGATGTCTGATCGATTATACACTAATCAAGAGTGTATGACCAGTCATGCTTAATGTAATTTCTACAAGTAATTTGGATTCTTTCCGTACTGCATATTTCTGCACCCACTGGGGATCAACACCAAGGATTTCAAAATTCAACAGTTTCCAGATGAATTTTATAGCCAAAAGCAACATTGTGTCTATTTGTCCACCATCTATCTCACACACACAATTTAATACAACCATAATTGCAGCTGCAACAACTCATGCCAATTGTCTATATGGCTGACATACAGAAATTATCTACTTGAACAAGTGAGCAATATCAGGATCATCCAAATCCACATCCAACAACCCATTCAACTTCATATACTCAACATAATGATCTGGTGGTTTCACTGCACGAACACGTTTTGGTGTGAAGCCGTGAATTCTTGCAACATCTCTGGCAAGCCATTTAACATATGCTTGATCCAAAGGAGGTACAATCTTCAGCAATATCACATCTTCCCTTTCTTGCTTCCCCACTTTGTTTCCCATAACAAAATTAACCTAAATGAAGATTTGAGTTGTAAAATGGGAAGAAGATTTAAACGATGATGTTGAAAAATGAAATCCCCATTCAAATCAAAATCAGCACCACTAATTAGAATTTGAGAGTGTGATAAGACAAGTCACAAGTTAATTATTCATGGGTCCCAATTCACATAGTTTGCTTCACATAAAACCCTAAATTAAAATACCCTTTTGCGTAATCGAAAGCGAAGCCACAATTGAATGAAAACCAATTTCAGAATTAAGCATAGGGAATTCGGAAAAACAAAATGTCAAGTGAACCTCAGAAAGCAAAATCGAATTCAAATTCAAATGGCGATTTGGAAACTTAGCACGAAAAATCAATAGCATCAGAGTGCATACCTACGCCGCCACAAAAGCAGAGCGATTCAGGAGTGTGTACGGTTCGGCGATGTGTACGGTTCGGCGATATGCTGTTCCGATACAGTTTGGTTTGGGGGAGGATAATATAAGGTGAAAATGCTTCGTCCACGCCTCAAAATCATGCCATTATTATTATTATTTTTCTTGTGAAGTATAAAATAATTTTTAAAAAGGGACAGGATCCGTTTATAAACTTTTTTTTGCAATTACACTAATGTAGGACCGGTCGTACACTGTATGATTAATGTAGGACCGGTCCTACATAGTATAGTTTGTAAGAGTTTGTAAATAACAAAATTTATAAATATAACCTGCCCCATTTTTAAATTATGTCACATATAATATAATATAATATTTATAACCTGGTTATAATTTAGGGTCCAATCTGCAGGTAAGACAGAAAATTTTGTTTGTCACTTTCAAAAAAAAATGAATTTGTCAAAAAATTATATTATATATTATAAATAATACACAATGTATGACAAATAAAATCTTCTGCCACAAAGGCAAAATTGTTTTTTTTTTCTTCTTCTTTTGCTTGTTGTGAAATGTACAGACTTTCACTTTTCTATCTTGATAATTTCTTATTTATTTAATTACGGTCAGAATTTTCTTTCTATTATATATTTTTTGATTTTTTAATTTATGATAGTATTATTTGCTTTTCTTAAATTATAATATTATATATTATCGAGAATATTTTTGTTTTAATAATTATTAATATCTATTTTTTCTCTTTTCTCTCTGTTTCTTTTTCCTCTTATTTAGGCAATTTTTCTTCTCCTTCGTTTAACTCAACAACATCAATTCTCCCCCTCACTTTTTATTTCTTCATATTCTTTTTATTTTATTTTTTTCCTAATAATCATCATAATAAAAAAATATTTATTAAAGAGAGAATAGTAAAATAAAAATTAGGGGATGTAAGAAAATTCACATCAAATACATCTTTCGGGCAAAAAACTTTAAGTGTGTGTCGCAACTGGATCGCGACGTGACGGTGAAAAATTGAAAGTTTAAAAACATAATGAAGTCGTCACCAAGGTTTGAAAAACATTGAAAAAATCCTTTTTATTTGAAAATCGATCTTTAAAAACAAAAATAAATTCATATTTATGTAGGGAAGGTGTTAGTACTATGTATCGTACATTTAAAAAAAATAGTTACCTTATATTAATTGTGCAAATTGTTGATGAAATTTTAAATATTTGTTTCACCCCAAAAAATTAAACAAAATTGATTAAAGAAAAGAAAATTAATTTTTGAGCATGACAGGAAGAGTCCCGCTCCTACGTATCCGTCGATGCAATAAGAAACTCAAAGCTTCGTCGTTCTGTAGAAAATATTTGTGTGTTAGATGATTTTAATTTTTGAAAATAACTTTGAGAAATATCATTAATTATTTTGAAAATGAATACATCATAGCTTAGAATTTAAGGTAACACGGATACACGTAAATTCTTACGAAGATTATAACACTCGAGGATGGAAGACCATACATTAACATTGTAAATCGTTGCTAGGATTTTGAAAATATTTGCCCATGTTTCAACTACTTTGTAGGGTATGAAAACCTAAAGAAGCCAATGGAAAGTGAACTATGCATCTATTCTGAAAGCAAGATGAGTTCAAATATGGAGGCTATTAGGACCTGCAGTTTGATTTTAAGTGGTGGTTTTATTTTGAATTTGGAAAAGACTTTTTATGTTCATAGTATTTCTAAGAACTTAATTTCAGTGTCAAGACTTATACCTTTTGGTTATTTCTTTCTATTTTATGAAATATCTTTCAGTTTGTTTTATAAATCTAAAATTATTAGAAATGGTACATTGTCTTATGGTCTTTTCTATATTAATTTGCAAAATGACATCCCTCATGATGTTATGCATGTTAATATTGGCATGAAACGATCTGTTATGAATGAAGATTCCTCTATTTTGTGGCATCGGAGATTAGGACATATCTCCATTCAGAGAATTGAAAGATTAGTAAATGATGGAGTGCTTAGTACTTTAGGTTTTGCAAATTTTGAAACTTGTGTAGATTGCATTAAGGGAAATCAAACAAACAAGTCCAAAAAGGGTGCCAAGAGAAGTACTGAATTGTTAGAAATCATACAAACAGATATTTGTTGTCCAGACATGGACACACTGGTGGACCTACATGGTTGCCTATGCGTGCAAGTGCAGACACAAAAAAAAATTCATTTAAAATAGCTTGAAGAGTAAAATATCTTTTGGATTCTCAACAAAAATCATAGGATCCATTTTATTCCCTTAAAAAAAATAGACTTGTGATTCCTTTAAAATTCAAAATAGACACAGTTAGTCAAAATTGTGGTCCCTCTAAAATTCAAATAAGACTCACGTTAGTCCCTCAAAAGGACTAAATGAGTCTATTTTAAATTTCAGACGAACCATGAGTCGACTTTTTTTCCTAAGGGATTAAATTGGGCCCCGTAATATTTGTTAAGGACCCAAAATGTACTTTATTCTAGCTTGAAATAGCATTTACAAAAAATGAGATATGTGTGAAATAGCGTGAAATAGAAAAGCTTGATATATGTGAATAGTTTTATTTTCTTTTTTTTGGAGTTACCCAACCCTAATTACTTTTCTTGTCTATATTCTTTTATTTTTTTAATGTATTTAAAATTTCTTAAATTTTTTTTTTTGAGGGAAGTAACCCCTGCCACTAAGTATGCAGACATGGTCAGAAGTACTTTATCTCTTTCATAGATGATTATTCACGATACATGTATCTCTACATGCTTAATAATAAGTATAAAGCATTAGATGCCTTTAAGATATTTAAATTAAAAGTAGAGAAACAATACGATAAGAAAATTAAAATCGTGAGATCAGATAGAGGTGGAGAATATTATGGTAGATACACTTAAGATGGACAAGCGCATGGTCCGTTTGTGAAGTTTCTTAAAGAGCATGGGATAATTGCCCAATACGCTATGTCTGGTTCTCTAGATCAGAATGGTGTAGCAGAAAAAAGAAACTGAACATTAATGGATATGGTGCGAAGTATGTTTAGTAGCTTCAAGCTTCCTAAGTCCTTGTAGATTGAAGAACTTAAGACAGCAGTATACATATTAAACCGAGTTCCAACTAAGGTTGTCCCAAAGACACCATTTGAGTTATTTAAAGGTTGGAAATCGAGTTTGCAACGTGTACGTATTTGGGGATGCCCGTCTAAAGTCAGAATCTATAACCCATGAGAAAAGAAGCTTGACCCAAGGACCATTAATGGGTAGTTCTAGTTCATTGGATATGCTAAAAGGTCCAAGGGATACAGATTTTATTGTCCATCGCATGGTACGAGGATTGTGGAATCAAGAAATGCTAAATTTCTTGAGAATGACTTGATTAGTGGGAGCAATCAATCCGAAGACTTTGTTTTTGAGAAAGATCATTCAGTTGCTCAACCATCCACTTCAAGTTTGAGATTGGTTGTTGTTAATACCCCTATAGCTCAATCAGGTATTGTACAACCAGTCATTCAAGATCCACAACCTGTTGATAATCTAGTAGATCAAGTTGTTCATGATGAACAAGTAGAAATTGTTGATCAACCAATTGAACAACAAGTTCCTCAAGAAGATAATGAAATAACATTGAGAGGATCTACCAGAATAAGAAAATCAGCGATATCGAATGAATTTGTTGTGTATCTAAAAAAAGCTGATTATAACATTGGAGTCGAAAATGATCCTAAAAAGTTTTCACTAGCCATGAATTGTAAAGAATCAATTTTTTGGTATAATGCTATGAAAGATGAACTAAATTCTATGGGATCTTGTTCAGTTGCCTGATGGTGCAAAAGCCATTGGATGTAAATGGGTCTTCAAAACTAAGAAAGACTCATTGGACAATATTGAGAAATATAAAGCAAGACTCGTAGTCAAAGGATTTAATCAAAAAGAAAGAATAGACTACAAGGAGACTTTTTCTCCTGTATCTAAGAAAGATTCTCTTCCAATCTTTCTAGCATTAGTTGCACTTTTTCACTTAGAATTATAATATATGGATATGAAAACAGCTTTTCTCAAAGGAGATCTAGAGGAAGAGGTTTATATGAAACAACCTGAAGGATTCTCCTCTAGTAAATGTGAGCAATTGGTATGCAAGCTTAAGAAATCTATATATGGATTGAAACAAGCCTCCCGTCAATAGTATTTGAAATTTCATGATGTTATTTCTTCATTTGGTTTTGTAGAGAACACCATGGACCCATGTATATAACAAAGGGTCAGTGGGAGCAAAATTTGTTTCCTTATTCTACATGTGGATGATATTTTACTTGTAACCAATGATAAGGGTTTGCTATATGAGGTGAAACAATTTCTCTCTAAAAACTTTGATATGAAGGATATGGCTAATGCCTAATATTTTATTGGCATCAAGAGAGATAGAGACAGAATAAGGGGTGTCCCTGGTTTTTCTCAAGAGACCTATATCAATAAAGTTTTGGAAAGATTTAGGATGAGTGATTGTTCACCAAGTGTAGCACCCATTGTGAAGGGTGAAAGGTTTGATTTAAACCAGTGCCCAAAAAACGATCTTGAGCGGAACAAAAGAAGAATATTTCTTATGCTTCAGCTGTTGGAAGCCTTATGTATGCTCAGGTTTGCACAAGACCCGACATTGCTTTTGCAGTTGTAGTATTAGGGAGATATCAATGTAATCCAGGCTTAGACTATTGGAAAGCTGCAAAGAAAGTGAGTAGATACCTTCAAGGGACTAAGGATTACATGCTTATGTTCAGACGGACTGACAACTTGGAAGTAATTGGCTACTCAGATTCAGACTACGCTGGTTGCATTGATTCCAGAAAATCCACTTCAGGATATATTTTCATGCTAGCCAGTGGAGCTGTGTCTTGGAGAAGTGTCAACCAGACCTTAACCACTACTTTCACTATGGAGGTTGAGTTTGCTTCTTGTTTTGACGCTACCTCACATGGTGTATGGATGAGAAGTTTCATTTTTGGTCTTAGAGTTATAGATTCTATTTCTAGGCCATTACAGATATATATATATATATATATATATATATATATATATATATAGGGTTTTATAAGAATTATGTTGTTGGAAAAATGATTGTGTAATGTTATAGAGATTCGTTTTGCGTGCCATAATTTTATTTTATTTTTTGTTTCAAAAAGTATGAGCCCCACAAAATGTTGTGTGTATAAAAAACTTTGTTGTGTCATGTTAAATGATAAATGCAAACCCCATACATATATATATATATATATATATATATATATATATATGTATGGGGCATGATATTCTTACACCAGTGTAAGAGTTAGAAGTATTACACTCAATCTTAATCATTGATCCACTTGTATCCAATGACTCAAATTACTAAAAAATTAGATCAATGGGCAAGATTGAGAGTGTAACTTACATTGGTGTAAAATGATCCTGACCCTATATTATATATATATATATATATATATATATATATATATATATATATATATATATTGCTGCTGTTTTTATGGCTAAGAACAACAAAATGGTAGTTGAAGCAAGCATATCAACATTCAATATCTAGCCATAAGAAAACGTGTTAAAGATAAATCAGTGGTTATTGAACACATTAGCACTGAATTAAGGATTGATGATCCTTTAACTAAAGGCATGCCATCAGTTACATTTAAGGATCATGTAGAAAGGATGAGACTTGGTTCCCATATATGATTTTCATTGTAAGAGTGATATTATATTAATGAAACTCTATTTGTAATGTTTCTCATTCAGTTTATGCGCATTTTAGTTAATTATTCTGAAAAATATCAATAGAGTTTGGACTTAGAATAAACATTGGGTTTATTCATTAAGTTGTATGGACTTGAGAAATATAATACAGTGTAATACATGGAAAATAATATTCGGCACAAATAAGAGGACTTATTGCCATGATTCATGTATTTTGTTTCTCACTATAGTATATGATGGGATATGTGGACCAAGTGGGAGAATGTTAGTAAAAATGTGATATGACCTTATGTGGTCCACTTGCATTGTCCGCTACTGATAATAGATTGCATTAATGGAGTACCTACTTTTGTTTTTTGTCTGCCATATGGTTTTAGTTTGCAATCATCAACCTACTCTTCGTTTCGTTTCGGTCTGCCATCATCAGCCACTTATGTACACCTCATTATTAATCCATTGTTGGTAAGGGTTTATAAAAGGGTGTGCTTCATTTTTCTTACGTCCCTGAACTCACTCTATTATAGAGTTACACACCATTTGAGCTGCAGAGAAGAGCTTGGAAGGCTTAAAGAATTTTCGCATCAGTTACAATCACCAATCAGAGCAACAAGAAAAGCAATGGTAAGAAGTATTTATGGTGTATCTTATTCTGCATTACATCATGAGTATATAAGTCTTACGCATCTTTATAATAAAAAGAAGACACACTCTCCGTGGTAAAAAGGAACTGCAAGCATAGAAACATGACAACTCAAAAACACGAATTCTTTGACAGCTAGCTGTTACAAATACATTTTTTTAAATGGAAATATTACAACAATATTGTGGTTAAAATAAGCAATATTGTAAGGTTAAGCGTAGGGTGACATAAACTATGTTCAAAAAGGGTGACTAGTATTTTTTATGACATAAGCAATATTACAACAATACGTGTTTATGACATAAACTATTGAAAAACATGTTTTTCAATTGGCTTTTATTATTTAAAAAATAAGCAAAACAATGCCTATAATTTTTTTAATAGGATTCAAACCCAAAATATTCTATATAGACATGATCTAATTACTAATTTAACCTAATTAAAGGCGACCCATATTTACACCTCTATTAGATATTTTAATTCATAATTAATACTAACGAGTATCTTTAAACTGTTAATGTAAAATATTCTTATTATAATATGTGAAAAATAAAATTCGAGTCCCATGTTAAATATTATATCCTAAAGATAATTTGCTCTTTTTATGGTGCCAAAGAGTGACTGACAATTGTCTCATAAGATGGAAGGAATTACCTCTGTTTGTTGACCACACTCTTGAACAAATAGTATTGACGAACGCAACAGTCGTTTGAACTACCATGCAGAATGAATTCAGAGATTTCAAAAAACATTTTGACAAAGTTTCGGTAAAGGAGGGAAATAAAAAAAAATGATTAGTTTTTTCTGATTTCCTTCCATAATTATAAATCATGACGGAACATGGTGAATGATGCTTGTTCGACGGTGAAGAGTCATATCTATTCGACGGTGAATAATTATGCGTATTCAACGGTGAAAAGACATTTCTCTTCATACTCAACTTGTTATTCATAACACTTAAATTTTATATGAATGCTAACAACTTCACCCCTTAACAAGTTCACTCTAAATGGTAACATTTGAATTTAGAGCTTTCAAATTAAGATTAAAGTAGTCTGAAAATATGAAATTCAATAATTACATTTTTAATTATTAGACTGCTTAATTTCACTTCATATCAGTGTTTAAAAACCTGGCCCGACCATCGACTCGGCTGGGGTCATGGGGTTACGGGTTCAACTGAGGGGTCATGAGGTCACTTCGCTGACCCAGTTTTATACATTAAAAAAAATATAAATATATATCATATATGAAAAATTCAAAAAAATCAAACCACCATAATTAAAGATTCAAAATATATTTAACATAATTCAACTAATTACATCCACAAGTCAATATTCATAAGCTAATTAGAGTATAAAACTATCAAAGTATAAAACACATATTTCAATAGTTAATGAAAAGTCATATCATCAAACTCAAACTCTTCTTGTCCTTCTCATGCACCTACAACAGTATGTAAAAGGATATCTTTTATCCAAAAGAGAATAACGGAGAAGAGACGGCGACACGACAAATTAACGGTGGGGAGAGAAGAACCAGCACGGTAGAGGAGATCACCAGATTAGGGAGATTGGGTCTGGGTTTGGGAGAGAAGATCGGAAGAGAAAAAGAAGAATGATTCAGATTTCAGATCTAGTTCTAAATCTATGCATCAGCCAGTTTTTGTTTTGTTTTATTTTTTTTACACATCAAAATACGTATTTCGTGTATATTTAAAAAAAAAATTGCAGTGACCTCTTTGACACCTCTAACTCGGGAGTCACAAATTTAACCGAAGTCAGATGTTAGTGGGATCAACGTGCAAGTAGAGTCTAACTACTAATCCGAACCCTCATATAAAGAGAGAGAGGGTTAATGACTTGGCAGGGTCGACATCAGGGTAGGGTGATATTTTAAAACACTATAACTCTTACATTTTTTTTTATGATAAATTGAAAAGACACTCTCCCTTATAAAAAGAAACAGCAAGCATAGAAACATGACAACTCAAAAACACGAATTCTTTAACAGCTAGCTGATACAAATACGTTTTCCAAATGGAAACATTACAACCTTACTAGCGTGTAAGTAAACACAATAATACGATGTCCCATGCCATGTGCGGTCTCTTATCCTCTCGTTTTAGCCGGAAAAATTTGACTTGAAGCTGATGTGGAGGGCAATGATTGATTATTCACCTCAAGGCATGGCAACTTGGCTAGATTGGGTGCATAATGTGGACTTTATCCTAAACACCCAAAAAAGGTAACATCCTTTCATTAATTGTTATCTCAAATATCTATACATATTATAATATTAGAAAGATAGCATTCAATCATTCATTAATTAGTTTTTTTAAATCATATATTATTAGTTTATTAAGAATGTATACATTTGATATTGACAAGGAGATAAAAGGAAAGAAATTTTTTCTCATGAATAATAGCTCCAAAAATTGGGATCAGATCATGAGAGAGAGAAGCATGTCATTGATATAGTTCAATACATATATATGGACCCATACAGCTTTATTTGACTCTTTTCTGTATACAACACAGTTCATGAGAACTGAAGGTATTTGCAGCTAAAAAGAACTGAAGCATTGCAGAAGGAAGATAGAAGGTGATGACTTCATTATTTTCACATCTTCCCATAAATCAAAGCAATAAAGTTTTAAATCATTTTCTGCTGCTTATGCTCCTGTGTTATCTCATCTGATCTCGGGATACTTGATATCATTTTCTATTTTTCTAAATTTGTTGGGATGTGGGAAATAATATAAAGCTAAAGGGGTATAAAAAAATTCAATCTTTTTCTCTCTCTAACTTTCCTTTTGTTTATTCCCTAAGTTTTCTATCTTTCTCTCTCTTTTGCATGTATCATATGTCAGATATTAATGCTTGCAGCAGATTTTCAGTGCTTTGCAACTTGGGGTTTGGCTTTTTCAATCCCAGTTGTCCTATTTGTGGTAAAGCTGTTGTTGGGATGGGACCAATTGTGACTCATCCATGGTATCTCAGGATAACCATCAATTTCAATTGATTTCTAAGTTTTGCCCTTGACAAATTCCTACCCAATTAGGGCTTTTTTTTTTTCTTCTTAAAATGGTTATTTTCTGGTTTTACCTTTTTCTTAATATCTAGATTCTTCTTACCTGCCTTTATCAGGCTAATTATGATTTCATTTTATGACTTTTTCAATTGGGCCAAAATGATTCAAAATGAAATGTTTTTGAAATATGGGATATATCAATAAGTCTTTCACTGTCAGAGTTAGGTTTTGTTTTGGCAGTGCTTGTTGGAACTTTTTCCACCTTTGTTTTCAGGGGATTACTTGTTAATCACTTTTAGCTCTGATAAATTGCATACCCATGCACCTTGTCAAAAGAATCTACAGTCAGATTATTTTACTGAGGTATGTTGAACTGGGGTTCAGACTATGGTGTTTGATCACACTATTGAGATTGGGGATATTTGCAGGATCTTGTGTCCAAGTGAAAGATTTTTTTTTTAATTATTGATACTGAAAAAAAGATGTTGAACTCATTTGCTAATCACTATATTATTCTTATAACCTTTTTTATTTTTCTGAAACTTCAAACCTTAGATTATGGCTGGGTTTTGGTACCTTGTTTCTTTCTTCTGGCTTAAAGGGTTGAAGATTTTGAACTTTTAGAAGAAACAAATACGAGGGTGCTGAATGTGTTCAGTGAAAGTAAGCTTTACAATAGTTACAGGCTTATAGTGGAAAGATATATTTTTGTGGTCCTGTGCTGTTAAAACTGTTCTTATCAGTAGGGCTATGGATAAATTGAATTTATATTTATTTCTTTTTTTGAGTATGGGAAAAGAAATTTGGATGCTCGTTATACATTATTGTCTTCTCGGTTTTTCTACTTTGTTTGTTTCTGAAATGTCTCTTTCGTATGTTTGAAATCCAGAGCCCTAATTACCATCTCATTGACTAGGTTCACATCACTACATCAATGTCCAAATTCTCACTTGCCTTGAAACGCCGTATATTACATGTATGTATTTATGGTTGTCAGATATTTCTCATGTTCTAACTGTACTTTGTTGCCTTTTCATTCATCAATAGGTAACTATTGGCAAGAGTCCAATTTTTACAAACTCTGAAGCAAAATCACCTTTGAAATTTTACATACATAGAGTTTTGGGATTTAGTTGGTATTCAACTGTATTCAGTTTTCAGGCATTTTCTGCCTCTGTTGGCTCTAGTTCAAGGGACCTTGTTGTCCATCATATAGCATACCATCAAAGTAAATATTAGAGGTACGCATCACAGAAATAATCTAGATCCATTCTAGATCCATAGCTCCAATAGAACATACCAGAGAACTGTAATTGATTCAAACAAGACTAGATGACCGTGGATGAAGTGGGTAGTAGCTCTGAGTGGAGCAAAGAACAGGATAAAGCATTTGAGAATGCCTTGGCAATTTATCCTGAGGATGATTCAGATCGATGGGAGAAGATTGCAGCCGATGTACAAGGAAAAACTTTAGAAGAGATTAAACATCACTATGAGCTCTTGGTTGACGATATCAATCAGATTGAATCTGGTTGTGTGCCTCTACCATCTTATAATTCTTCTCCAGAGGGCTCAACAAGCCATGCTGGTGATGAAGGAGGTGGTAAGAAGAGTGGCCGTCCTTGGAATTATAACAGTGAGTCTAATCATGGAACTAAAGCTTCAAGATCAGACCAGGAACGACGAAAGGGTATTGCGTGGACAGAGGAAGAGCACAGGTTAGTTTATCTTTGCTAGAAAACCTAGATATGCTGGTGTATGGCTATACTCAAATGCATAAGTTAGGTTACTTATTTTTAATTTGCTATTATTTCTGTCTCAAGTTTGTTTTGTTTAACCATATGCTTTTTAGGTAGGTGGAACTTGTATTGGATTATAGACTCTATATCTTAATCAATCTGAGTATCATGGTATACTCATACAATTGGAGGATCCTTATGTGCCTTAACAAATTATTTCTTCTGATCTTTGTCAGTTTAATTTCCAGCCAATCTTAATTATTTTGAAAGTTATCTGTAGTAACTATTTTACAAGAATATTTTACTAAACTATGGCATCTGGTTTATGGCATTTCTTTACTGTTTTAGGCTAAGATAAAGTGGGTAAAAATAAGGGGGCGTTTTGTACGTAGGTAAATTTTAGATTCCAGGGAAATTGACATTGGGAATCTTATTTACCCAAGTTTGGTACAAGGATTGTGAAAATTTTCTCGAAAAAATTAGATACCTGGGATTTCAATTTGTGAAGCAAATTCCCATAAAAGAATACCACCGGATGGGTGGTATTTTCAGATTCCCACTCGGTGGAAATATTTTAAAAAAAATTTCGGTCAAAATTACCCTCAGGAGGGGGTGGGGTTATTTTTGTAAAATCACTCTGCATTCCCAGTAATATGACAATCAACCAAACATAGAATCAGAAAACTTGAGCCAAGAATCCTGTCCTGGTAATATTTTGGCCTTCCAAGCAAATTTTTGATCACATTCTCGAGAAATTAACTTTCTCATCATATTCCTAGTAATCGTGATTCCCATGCACACAAAAAATTTTCCTCTACCAAATGCCTCCAAAGGGTTTAATGGGGAATCTCGGTGTTGACCTAAGTTTTTATTGAGTTCTGCCGGTTTCATGTTAACAGTCATTCTGATTATTAACCATGTTACTATAGTATTTTCTTCTGATGTGATCTTATATGGTCCAAGTTATTTATTAGAATACTTCTTTTACTGGTTATTTGCCCTTTTTGCAGCTAAGTAATCAATTAGAGTGATACCACCAATGAGGGTTGACTAAACTAGTAGAGTCAAATCGTTTAGACTATATAGTCTAGGGTTCAGTTCGTGTGATCCTTCATTGATAGGTCAATATATGTAACCACTAAAAGTCCTCACAGGCTTGTGGCAACATTTATTCCCCCAAAACTTCACAAATATTAACATAATTTTTTTTTTGGAGCAATACCAATGTTAAAACATCCATATCCATAATGTTTTTGCTGGTTTCTCCGAATATTTAGAATCATATGCACAAAAATTATACGAGCAGTTAGATGTGCTCCCTTTTTATCTGTACATGCTGGGGTGATCTTAGAATTAGTTGTTTTAAACAATATATGGTTTTTATTTGCAAATTTTTATCTTTATTTTTGTGTGTAATTCAGTAATCTTTGGTTTCTCATTATTTATGATAATAGTATCATATATGCCTTGGCCCTGAAAATTAAAGTCAGGCTTATATGAGGGAACTTTTAGAAAGTAGTATGCCTTGTTTAGTCACATTGATCTAGAAATTTCAGTTTCGATCTTAATGTTGAAGACTCAATTCTGACGAGAAGCTTACTTGTTACCCTTTTGTTGTCATGCTCCTATGATTTTCAAAAGTTAACATGCTGTTGTTGTAGTATCTTCGTAAAAATCATGGTTTAGATTACTCTTGTGGTCCTATTGACAGGTGATTAACTTAATTTGACCATCTGAGGGTATGGGATCTTAAAACTGAGATGATCTAACACATATTTTTGTTTTGTGAACCACAAATGTGGATAGTATCTTGGATCCAGAGATGGTGATGTGCCAAATTCAGGTTAGATTTCTGTTTAGGGGAGGGGGAAAGATAGCTTAAAATTCTTAGTATTATTTTGTTAATGCTGCCATGGAGCAATTATAGTGTCTTGTTTTCAAGTGATGTCTGTGATGATAGTTTTGAGATGTGTACATGAAAGAATAAACTGTGAGAAGAACCGTTTAGATGGTCAGTTAATCATTTTGGAGTTCTGGACTTCTTTGGGAAAAAAAAAAATCACTTACCATTAAGCCCCGACAAGTGAGGGTTGGGGTGATGGCAATCCTTGCACGCAGCCTTACCTTTATATATTTGCAAAGAAGTTGTTTCTCGGATTGAAACTTATGATCTTTCAGTCACAAAAAGAGAAACTTTACTGCCCCGGGTTCGCCCCCTTAGTTCTGGACTTCTTTGAAATGAATTTTTTTTTTTAGTATTCTGCAATTTTCCTGAGCTAATAAATATAGCACAAAAATGAGGTTAGCCTATTTATGTGGTGATTTTTCAGTTGGTAACTTGCCATGTGGTGCATGATGCAAGTCCCTGTAGTCTATGGCATTAATGATTACACAAGGTGACTACTCTCTTTGGGAGGTCATTTAGCCGGAAAATTATTTATTGTTTCCACATTATTTTAGAATTTCTCCGATGTAGGTCAATCCTATAAGATTTGGGAAGCACCACGGAATCTGGAGTAATAATGGAAACAGGGTGCTCTCATCTCATCATTTAGTGAGTCAGCAGCTTGTAGACCATTGGATGGCTAAGCTATTCAAGTGTATGTATCATAAGTACCTTTTTGGTACTTTTTCCAAAGCAGAATGTAGTTCATGCTAAAAGAACCTTCTTGAGTTGTAGACTTATTGAAGATATTGTACATAATGGAACACTTAAAATTCTAATTTTGGATCTATTTTGGGTCTCTACAAGGTAATTAGTTGCTTCATTTTCAAATTTTTGTTTCTTGGTGATAGAAGATGTAAGTTCCCTATTTTGTTTTCTTTTTTATCACTTGTATCCTTTTCCTTTTTGAAATCATGGACACAGCTCGTCACTGGGGCTTGTGTTATGGATTTTTCCCTTTTATCAAGACTTGTGTTCTGTTACTGTTTATTTGATTTTTTTAGTCAAAGTCATAGAACTATGAATTCATCATGCTATAGGAACAGATTTTGCAACAATTTCCAGAAGCGAGAAAGCCTATTGTTGCCATTAGTGCGATGCAACTGAAAATTGGGATATATTTTCATCTCAAATCTCTGTTGTCCAGTTTATGGTTCATGACTCATTAATAAAGTACTGTTTGATGTCTTAGGTTACCATTTCTTAGAGTACTATAGTATTCATATCCACAACCCAGCATTGAACTTTCTGAATAACCTCTTCGAAAACTCTGGATAACATGTACTGCAGCTGACATGGTCAGAAATTATGCTTTTGTTGAGCCCTAAGGACAAAGTTCAGGACCCTGCAAAACTGAAGAGTTTTGTAGTCTAAATAGTAATGTACTAGCCTCATTAGTATTTTATTCCATCTAATCTGTCTTCATTAAACTTTGGTCCTCCTGCGTTTGGGTAGTGCAATAATCTCATATTATTTATTACTTGCCTTTTACCTTTCAGTCCTTTGCCCTTAAAGCCCTTGTGATATTTTTCGGATTACGAAATAAATATAGATAAAAGGCATAGCAGAATTTCCTTTGACCTCAAAACTAAGATCTTTCGACATGCTCTGGGTGCATGTTTGAAGCCTTACATGCATTTGAGTTGCATTGGATGAAGATTTGGTTGTTTTGTTGGATTTCTTTATGGGTTTACTTCAATCTTAGAAAGAGGACTATATCTTGCTTGAGAAGACAATAATGTGTTGAGATTCTTTACTGAAGTGATGTGAGAACATTATATTGGTGGTTGCTATAAACATCTAGAGTGTTCGATCGTTATCAATATCATTACATCAGTGTTAGTTTGTTGACCGGATTTGTGTGTTACTTGTTGAGAAAAGCCATGTGCCATTTCAGCATTCAATTATCTTGGTGACTGCTAAATTTTGAATATGATTTAACAAAAGCCTCCATTCTTTTGCTAGATCTGAGTATCTAAATTTTTCGAGCTTTGGACTGTTCGAACCAGGAAGTTTGGTAAATAGTGCTAAATAAGAAGAGGGATTAGTTAGATTTTATGTATGCTAAATGCTGAAGCTTTGGACTCGTTCAGAACCTAAGTTATTTATGTTATCACTCATGTGCTCATTATATTGCCAATGCGGATGCACCTGCTCTGCCAGAGAAAAAGAAACCAGAGTTACTCTTTTTCTCCCTTAAAAAATATCCTTGCAAGCTAATATTTCTCAAATTATGATTTAAACTAAAATGGCTCTTGCCAACGGGAGTAGTCTTTGAACTTTGATTATTATCACTGACACTTTCTCTTCTAACTTTGCCTTTTCCTGGCGCCTTATTTTAAATCCATAAAGCTCTTAGTGCTCTTTGAGCATCGTCTATACCTGTACTTCATTATATTCTATGTCTCCAAACAAACATCTTTAGGAAGATTTCTAAACCATCACATAAATTTCAGTGTTTTGTGCTGGGATTATTTTCTGGTTCTATGTCAGATTACGGTGGTAAATTCTGATCCCTGTGTGTTAAACTGACACTCGAACAATCATTACTCTTAGAGGTCCCCGAATAGATCATATATGTAACAAGCTGGGTGCTTATGATATATACGCACCAGTTTGAGGGGGAGTGTTAGAAATAATATTAGTTTTATTATTATTAGTTTATTATTCTAGAAGGTTATTTGGGCTTAGCCCATTAGGTGATTTAACCTCTTTAAATAGAGGACTCTTGTACAGTTTTATACAATCGAATACAATACATTCATACATTATAATTCTTAGAATAGAACAACCTTTGCATAAAGTCTTGTGTTTGATCTTTACCTATTCCATACATTTGTCAATCTATATATAGAATTTTCAATTTATAGCAATTAGTTAATAGTACCTGTAAAGAACCAATTCAAGCCAAAAACTTAAGTTGTTAGGTGAAGGCCTCTTTAATGGTTTATATTATACTCTAACACGCCCCCTCACACGAGAGCCCATTGGGCTTGAAAGATGAATAATGCACAGGCCCATCTATCTGTGCTAAGAAAATTCCACAAGAGAAAGTGGGGGGCGGTGAGGATTGAACCTGAGACATAAGGCTCTGATACCATGTAAAGAACTAATTCAACCCAAAAGCTTAAGCTGTTAGGTGAGGGCCTCTTTAATGGTATCAGAGCCTTGTGTCCCGGGTTCAAATCCTCGCCGCCCCCCACTTTCTCTTGTGGAATTTCTTAGCACAGGTAGACTGGGCCTGTTGCATCATCCACTCTTCAAGCCCAATGGGCTCTCGTGTGAGGGGACGTGTTGAGATATATAGTCCCACATTGGTTGTATGAGCAACTAATGTGGAGTTTATAAGGCCTTGGGCACTCTCACCCTTTGAGCTAGCTTTTGGGGTGGTGTATCCCAAAGGTTCTTTACAGTTTATATTATACTCTAACAGTACCTATGAGATCTTTCTGGTTTTCAATTTGATGTTCAGCCATGTTAATATGTCTGTCAGTAATATTAATCATGATTGGCAATAACACATTAAGTTATTAACCGTAGCGCTATCGAAGATGCATCTTTGCTGCAGCTGATGGTATCACTACCGGTCATAATTGTCAAAGAAAAGTGCTAATTTTAATCCACATATAGGGAATAATGCTATCTTGAATTTCATGTGAAAAGATACATCGATGACCTTGATCATTGATATAGCGTATCTTCTGTTAGAGGTTATAGACTGAGGATCAGTGGCTGCATCAGTCTGTGATGGCTACTGATGTTCATTTAATGGCGATCTTTTCTTCTGGTATTGTGATATCTTCCATGTTCTAAGCTTTCTTTTATACAAGTATTTTTGTTTTTAAAAAATTTCAAATTGGTTGAACAGGTTATTTCTTCTTGGGTTGGATAAGTATGGAAAAGGTGACTGGCGAAGTATATCAAGGAACTTTGTGGTGACAAGAACACCTACACAAGTAGCAAGCCATGCCCAAAAGTACTTCATTCGTTTGAACTCGATGAATAAAGATAGAAGGCGATCCAGCATACATGATATCACTAGTGTAAACAATGGAGACATTTCAGCTCCTCAAGGACCAATTACTGGTCAAACAAATGGTTCTGCAGCAAATTCTGCTGGGAAATCAGCCAAACAAGCCCCACCAACCCCAACTGGAGCCCCAGGTGTAGGAATATATGCTGCTCCTACCATAGGGCAGCCTATAGGAGGACCCCTTGTATCTGCAGTTGGTACCCCGGTGAATCTTCCTGCTCCGGCACACATGGCTTATGGTATCCGAGCTCCGGTTCCTGGTACAGTTGTTCCTGGGGCACCAATGAACTTGGGTCCTGTGCCATACCCCATGCCACATACATCTGCTCATAGATGAAGTGCTGTTCAGAGGCCTAATGTACAAAACAAAAAGCAGACTAGATGGCTTCTGAGCTTAATGTAATTCTTTTCTTATTCCTAGAGAGTTGCTTATATGCAAGCAAGAGTTGTATGTTCAATCAATTTATTTCAAATAAGCCATACCGTGAAGCATTCAATGTGTCTGTATAGGCTGCCATGGAATATTTGACAGCCTTAACATAGGACAGCATGAAAGTAAGGTTTTGTAGACATTTATGTTGTTGTAGTTAGTCATATAAAGTGTCCCCGTGCTGCAGAGGAAGGTTCTGTGGCTTTAAAGAATTAAGCTATTGCTGTATTTTGTCTCAGTTCTTGTAGGAACTAAACTTCACGTCTACCTTCCTTTATTATATAGCATATTGCAGCATAGCCATCAAAATATTTCTATGATAAAATTGAAAATTCTTCCATTGGCAAGGGGTGTTAATATTGGCTGTCTAGTCTCTGCAAAGGTAAAAGGCCACTTTTCATACGGTTGGTCATAGTTTTCCATTGATTTTCTTTTCATTATTCATACCAAATATCAAAGTAGGTGTAGATTGTGGAAACTAGAAAAGTTGTGCAAGATTGGTGCCTCTAGGTGATCCTTATTGTGCCTTGATTCATGAAAATACGTTCAGCCAAATGTGTCACCCTTCTTTCAGAGACTGAGATTACAAATTACTGAGATATGTTTGAACCCGCCAAATTTTTCCCCATTTTTTCTATCTATCCTCTGAAAGAACCTTGTTGTCATAACCCACAACTGCAGTTTTTGGAAGTTCTTTAAGTGCTTGATGCAACTTGGCAGGCACTGTTTCAAATTTTCAACATGCAGTGATCTGAAGCTGATTATGGAAAATTTAGCTACTGGTTTTCTTTATTAAATTAATATTTCTCATGTTGTAGGAGATAAATATTTTCTACACATATAAAAGTTTGTGGAGTTTATATTTTCTTTTTCTTTTTTTGTCTCTCTTTTACACTTTATGTTTGTATAGGAGATAATTTTATCTTTTTTTTTTTTTATAAACCAAAAATATCCTTCACGAGAGACAATTATGTTTGGGGCGAGTCCATGATTAAGACTTTAAACTCCTCTCAAAGATTGTACTATGGAGAAGATAAAAAACACTAATTCCTTTCTTTATAGTCTATAAAGAAAGGGATTAAGGCTTTGAACAACATAAAAAACACTAACATCTTTTTTTATAGTCTATATCAAATGACCAAATGTTGTAGGCTCAGTTCTGATCTTGGCATTATTTTATATCCAAATCAGTGAGTTGACAAAACAAATGGAAATCCAAAGAGATGGCTCAGGAAAAGGAAGATTCTGGGCAAATCCTTGAACATATACTGTATAACTATGGGGAAGAAAATTTGACCTACGAAAGCCCCTTGTTTCTCAGGTACAACCCTTTGCACATGGAGGTTCGTGTACTTGTTCATAATGGAAAATCCATTGCTAAGTAACTTATCATTACTCATTCTTGATGATGAAACCTAGAAAAATGGTTCTTCCATTGCTGCCTTAAGAACCAAAGGAACTGGAAAATAACTCCTCCAATCTTTTAATTCAAACATGCATGTCATTATTACATTGTTACAACATATTAGAAGGTAAAAGAGAGTAAAGAGAAAATATTGATTTCATTGATTGTGGTAATTGATTTGTACAATGAGTGAGCTCTTATATAGAAGAGCATAACAGAAAAGAGAGATCTAGAATATCATTAAAATACCAAACTACCCTTATACCTAATATCTAAGGGTGGAACTAGAGTGGAACCTCTCATGTGTGTTCCACGCTATCTTCACCTTTATTGCATTGTTGATTTCTTTGGGATCTTTGTAATTTCTTTTACCGTCTGCAAACATTCTCTGTTATAGTGTTTCTGATTGCAATTGGCATTGTGAAATACATGAATGGTGAATATTCAGATCTGTATTTCTTGAGTTAATTATGTTTTAGCTTTGTTAATTGGTTGGTCCTTTATCAATTGGTATCAGAGCTCTGATCTAGGAGCTTTGTGGATGGTGCTCACTTGAGGCATGGAGAATCAATTGGGGAACAACGAGGAGCAGCTGCGCAAAAGCAAAGAACAACATAGTGATGTGTTTCGAAGACTGGGAGAAGAGGAGATAAACCAGAATGAGATTTTAAGGCGTCTGGATGCTATGACTCAAGAGATGGTTAGGCTGAACGAATGAAGGCGATCTAGTATAGGAAAATCTGAAAGCGATAGCAGGGGTTCAGAGGAATCAGTTGGACGCAATGATCGAATGAAGCTTTTGGGAAGATTTCAACCTGAGGTGGTTGAGAATCCATATCAATTGGTATCAGAGCTCATATTTTGTTTGGGGCCCAAACCATGGTGGGTTCGTAGTAATGTACTTATCCTATTAGAATTTTTTGGTGTGGGCTCATATTTTAGTTTCATTATTTTATTTTTCTTTATTTGAATTTACTTTTTGTTGCTTGAGATGTGGAAGTGGCTAAATAGCTGCAAAATATCAAGAAAGACAGCAAAGTTAAGAAAATACCCTATTCAAAAAGTTAGGGTGCTAATCAGCAGTGACTAATAGTATTAATTTGAATAGGAAAAAAGAAAGAAGAATTTCTTCAACAAGCAGGAACTGCTAAAATTTGCTAACTAGAAGATGATTAGCTATTGGAGAAGGAAAAACAACCAGTAAAGCTCAAAACAACATAAAAAGGAAAATTTTCTGTACACAAAATTTCCCGACTTGAGAGAATAGAGATGAGAGTCGAGTGTATGTAACTTTATTTGTATTTTGCAAAAAGATTGTTTCTTATACCCATAACTCGTTATCTTCCTATCAAAATGAGCTCCCACCTTAAATTACTGGCCAGAGATACGGTACAACTCACTTGTACCTATTCACCAAACCAATGCATGATCATGTTATACTTACACTATTGCATCAAACAACTTCCAATCACAACCCCAATGGGCATGGTGGAGCACACACGGGGATTAATCACAACTTTCTTCAACAAAGAAATGCTGATATCATTTTGGTCAAGGACCAAAGGCAATCCACAAGCTCCAAGCTTCAATCTTCTAAGATTTCTTTTGTGGGAGGCAACCTACAATGATCACAAGCACATGATTATTAATCCACTTTCAAGACAAAGCACTCCCCCCCCCCCCCCCACACTATAACCATCCCACAATTGCATCAAGCCATACTTAGCACAATTTTCTCCACAAAACCCCAATATGGCCGAATATGCATCACCAATAGGGCTAGGGATTTTTCTTGTCTTTTCAAGGTTCAAGGCTCATTCTTAGGTCCACACTAGTTCATTCAAATACCTACTAGCTCAATTCCTCAACTCAATCATCCAATTGCACAATTTTACACTAAAACTGCCTATATGGCCGAATTGTTGCTCTATGTACACCAAGTGACCTTTCTTTCAATTCACATGCATTACTCACTCATACAACCCATTTGTACTTGATTCAAATCAACACAAGTTCTGTTATCAAAAAAAAAAAAATCATCACAAGTTCAACTACACATTTTTTGCATCATTTTTCTCCTAAAATACCCTAATGGCTGAATTGTTGTATCCTTGGCCTAATGGATTACCAATTGATTTTTCACACATCCAATGCACCACACGTCATGTAATTAACTAATATGACTAATCCACAACTCAATTTCACAATCATCAACAATCCAATTTCTCAAAATCATTCTCATCCATCAAAAAATTCACTAAGTTATCAAACTTTTTCTCAATAATTTTTAGGAGAAATTCATCATTCTAAGCAACATTTGTCTAATGCACAAAGTCCATTTGAGGTCCCCAACTACCTCTAATCAACACACATAGGCTTAGGTTTTCAAAATTTGATTTACAAGAATATCCCACAATAGGTAGTGAACTTACCAATAATCAAAGTTCAAGACCCTTAAGAATGATCCTCAAGCAATAGCTCAACCAACAAGCTCCATGGACATCAAGACCTCCAAATTTCCGTAAGCTTGGATGGGGAATATCTCAAAATTTAGGGACTTTCAAGAGAAATGGAGGTGTGGGTTAGGTTCATTGAGTCATTTACTTAAAATTTTATGTAGTGGATGAGTGGTTTTGGTGAGAAATTGATGGAGAACCAATCTTCCCCCTTTGGAAGAGCAAGGCTCGGCCTTGAGAGGGAGAGAAAGTGAGAAGATGAAGATGATGAATAGTAATTGCCATGTGTTCTTATGTTGTTTAAGTGAGGTGGGTCCCACTTGCCACCTCACACAATTTAAATTATTTCAAATCTCTCACTTCACTCACTAATATCCACTTAATTCATAAACTATACATTAAATCCAAAGTTTAACATTCACAAAAGTCCTTTAATTACACTTGAACAAATGAATTCGGAGTTTTTCGGTCATTTGGCGAAATCACTGTTTTAGCTTGATATGTACACCGTTGGCATATTTCCCCAAAAACTCTAAAATTCATCAAATTTCATCAATGATCATATTTCTTGGTCCTAAGTAGCTTTTCCAACTTATATTCAATCCTAGAGCACAAATTTCACTCTGCACATTTTTCGATACAACTGTATCGCTGTATTTTCATCCGATAAAAACATTATTCATCAAATTTTCAGAAACTTGCCTGACCACTCAAATTTTCGTTCTGAATCAATTTTCAAGGTTACTTTTCTCATTTGAGACCTTATACTATCATTTTACTGTTTAGGGTTATGTTTTTGCTAAATTATCATTTTATCGTTTTATCCTCTTTACGTATTTTGACCCGAAACTCAGAATTTTCACTAGTCCTACCTCTTAATCCTCATTTTAAGTATAATTATGTGTTTCAAATCTATAAGGTATTATGGAATTTATTTAATATTTTTAAAATTAAAACATATAAAAAATAGGTTTAGTTAATTGATGACACAACTTTATCAAGGAAGAATGAATTTTTTGGGAAAAAAATAATTATGTATGAATGACATGTGACATTTATTTCACTTATATGTAATATGTTTTACTTGGAATTTATTTGGTGTATTTTTTAAAATTAAAATTTATTTTTAATTAAGTAAATATTGAAAATAAGAGATTAAAAAATAACATTAAAAGTTATTTGTGATTATATAAAAAATTTAACTTTAAAACTCAACTTAAAAATAAGTTATCTGGTAAAATAACTTTTGTAAGTTTTGTTTCTAATAAAAATTATCATAAAAAAATATTAGAAATCTCTATTATTTAAATAAACATACATATAATAAGAAGAAGAAAAAGACAAATATTTTAAAAATGAAGATTTAAGGGGAAAAAAATAGATCTAAGAACAAATAAAATACAATTTATTCATTCTTTTAAGTGATATTCTTAATACTTGGGAGGGGAGAAGTAGATCGAATGATATGTCATCAAGCTAGAGTATAAAATTTGTAAATACTTTTTTAGCATAAGGACAAAATTGAAAAAAATGAAGACTTAGAAAAAGCTGTCTACATCTTAAGAAAAGCTCTTCTAGGAAACTTTTTTTAAAAAAAAAATCATTATGAAGAAAGCTCTTTTTATAATAAATTTTTTTATAAAAATATTAGGCCGAGGTTCCCTTATAAAAAAAGAGAGAAATTAAAAAAAATGTCAAATGAGTACTTCCTAATATATAGAGAGGTTTTTATAATTCTTCTTTTCTTTTTCCCCCAAGATACTAGTCAAAGCCTAGGGTGAAATAGGGAAAATATTATTTTGGAATTTTTAAATGAGGAGAAGTGAAGGATCTCATTTTTTCATTTTTTTTTAGTATTTTAAAATTTATCATTTTGGAGGATTTTAATACAAATAGTGAAAAAGCAACTTAAGAATTTTTAATCCTTTTCCCTTTCCTTCTCCATTCTCTTTTGATTCATTTCCCCTTCTTTCTTCTCTCAATTCCTAAGCATACTCCAAAGAGTAAGTGAGTAAAACGGAGTGGAGAAATCACAAAACTTCAACCAAATTCGTCATTACTCTTTTGACCAAAAAGAAATGAATAAAAGAAAAAACCCATGCTTTCTATTTTCCACAACCTCGTAAGAGATGTTATCAAATGCTTGATTTTTAGAAAGCATATTTCACTCAAATTACTTGTTTGTAATATGATAAACCTTTTAAAAGTCCCAAGTATAATTATTATTATTTTATGTCCTTGTCAAAGACAATGAGGATGATAATTTGACTTAAAGGATATTGGTTGTTGGGTCCCCACATTGATGGTCATGGATTACAATTGTTCCTAAATAAAATCAAAGTCATAGTCAATTGCTGATGATGATAGACTTAAGTATAGCAACAATGACGGATTGACGGTTACACCATACAAGAGAAAGATTTTGGAACAAGGTAAAAACAATACTTGTGATGAAGACTGAAGAGAACAAATGAAAAGGCCATCCCAACCTCCAATGTATATTTCAATATGTATAAACAAGTACAACGAAAATCATATGAAAATGGAGAAAGAGGGTGCAGTTTCTATTTCCTTATCAAAGTAAACACCCTACCACCACTTCCCACCAAAAGGTAAGCAAGCAGTTTCTACTTTTCTTTTTCTTTGTGTTGTCTGTCTCATAAAAATTCATCTTGTTGGAAGATGTCTTATTGAGTATTATTCTAATCTAACTTCACTTGCTCCATACGTTTTCCATACAGAATTCTCTTACTATCAAAATACTTTTAGGGTCTGTTTGGTGTGATGTATAAAGCCTGAGAGTATAAGCTTATACTATACGTTATGACATTTTCAATTGTTTGGTGTGACCATCGTATAGTATAAGCTTATACAGCATGATCCTTTTATACATCAAAATGATGTATAACTTAATCAGGCATAGGAGTTGTGGATTAGACCCGATAAGGGGTTGATGTATTAATATTACTTACAAGTACAATTCCCAAGAACTAATATATCATTTCAATATTTATATATTAAAATAATTTTTTTTGATATATTAATTTTTAAAATATTGGAGGATATTATCTTATACAATACCATACCAAACGCTGGATAGTATTAAATTTTAATCAGGTCTTATACAATCAGGTCTTATACTATCAGGACTTATACTATTAGACTTTATCCTATACTATGCACCAAATATGCCCTTATATGGGAAAAGCTCTTTCATATACATGCCAAGTATTGTTCCAATGTGAGGGGGTGTCATAGAATTAATCATCTTCATCCAATTGAGTATTTGGTTTGCTATAGCCTGCCATTTCAATTCTTAAGCATAGAGCCATTACAAGATAAAGCTAGAGCCACCATGCCTTTTGGTTTGGTCTCAGCCTGGAACAAGCGTAGGAGAAGCAAGTCTCAAGATCATTCAGACCCTTGTATTTTCTTCTTCTTTTACTCATGTTGGGGGCCACCACATTCATTCAAAATCTGGCTTGTAACATTTAAAACATTCACTCTCTTTTCAGGGATTTATAAACCTGCTGAGTTTTGGCAACTTCAAGATGAAGCACCACAACCTGCAAAAAGGAGGCATGGATCATCTGTTTTCACACTCAAGGAGATGGAAGAGGCAACATGTTCATTCTGTGATGATAATCTGCTTGGAAAAGGAGGTTTTGGCAGGGTCTATAGGGGCACTTTGCGGTCAGGAGAGGTAATATGTTTTGGATATAAGTTACTTTTATCCCAAAGGAATTCATAATTCTCAAAATTTTGTAACATCAGTTGTAGCTTCCATAAAGAAATCAGGGTAATCAGAATTATTGGCAATACCATCACTGAATTCAAATAACAGACAGCATTGAGTCATAGCATAGTAAATGACTCTCTGTGATTTAGCTATAGACAGATACATACTAATGTGTCTCCCTCTGAAGGTTGTAGCAATCAAGAAAATGGAGCTGCCAGCAATTAAAGAATCTGAGGGGGAACGTGAATTCCGTGTAGAAGTTGACATATTGAGCAGACTCGACCACCCAAATCTTGTTTCCTTGATAGGATACTGTGCTGATGGGAAGCATAGATTCCTAGTATACGAATACATGCATAATGGGAACCTGCAAGATCATTTGAATGGTTTGTCATGTACCCAAAATCCACGTGATGTCAAAAAATTTTACATCAAGCTTCTGTTAATCAATGCATAATTTTAGGAATCGGGGAAAGAAAAATGGATTGGCCTCTAAGACTCAAAGTGGCATTGGGAGCTGCAAAAGGGCTTGCTTATCTCCATTCAAGTTCTTGTGTTGGAATTCCTATTGTTCATAGAGATTTCAAATCCACCAATGTTCTTTTAAATGCCAATTTTGAAGCAAAGGTATAAATAATCTCCCAACCATGACTCTTTAACATGTCTTACATATCACAATATGTACTTTAACCAAAATTAACAACCATCTTGTAGATATCTGATTTTGGGTTTGCCAAGCTAATGCCAGAAGCACAGGAGACACATGTGACTGCTAGAGTACTTGGTACCTTTGGCTATTTTGACCCTGAGTATATATCGGTATGCATCTATGATAATTCTTTTGTGCAATATGATGCAATCAATTTTACAGTTATAAACATCTATTTAAAAACACATTATTACTCTAAAGCCAGATCACATGCACAACATACAGAGGCTGAAATTCTCTATCCATATCAACGAAATTTTTAGTTTCTTTGTAAAATTTAAAAGGTTATCAGTAAATTATTCTGTGAATGTTTTTGTTTATACTTAAAGAGTCTGCACATTCGTGGTAGAATAACTAAGAACTTCAGTATCTTGTTTAGATGGCTTGAAAACAAAGTTACTTTCTTCTCTCTTTTATCTCAGGTCACATGTTCCATTCCACAGCCATCATGCAACCAAACAGCCATTGAAATTTTGTAGATAGGCAGATAAATAAGTTCCTTTAATATCATGAGTTAGTGAAAAATTCCTTTCCTTTAAACTTGTTGGGCTTAATTAAACAATTTTAACTTTCTAGGGCCCTTTCTTAGAAGCTTATGCTTTCAGGTTAAGTGATTGGCATGGCTTCAGAACACAACAGACCGAGAGGCATATAGCTCAATCCTTGCCACCCATGTTATCTAGTAACAAAAAATTCAGTATAAAGTTGCACATAATTTATATACTTCATCCTCATTTCAAACCTAGAGTCTTGAGGACTTTCAAGGGAGGAGGTGTATGAAGAGTTATTAAAATCATTTTCAGATCCTTACCCTGACAGCTTCAGTACTTGAAAGAAAAGGGTATTTGAAATATTATTGAATTGTGTAAATAATCTGTACAAAGAAGTCTCTATTTATAGAGAATGAAAACCCTAATACTTGACCTAATTCTTAACCTAATGGGCTTGGCCCAATACAACAAATACTAATAATAATAATAAAATAACAAATATTTACAACACTCCCCCTCAAGCTGAGGAATAGATATTTATCATTCCCAGCTTGCTAGTAAGTTCTTCAAATCTGTCTGAAGGAAGTCCCTTTGTCAATAGATCAGCTAATTGACGCCCAGTGGGAATGTATGGAGTGGTAATCAACCCGCTATCAAGTTTCTCTTTGATGAAATGGCGGTCGACCTCAATATGTTTAGTCCGATCATGTTGAACCGAATTATGAGCTATACAAATAGCGGACTTATTGTCACATAGCAGCTTCATAGGTCCCTCACATTTTATTTTGAGATCATCAAGTATAATTTTCAGCCACAGTAACTCACAAATGCCTTGAGCCATAGCTCGAAATTCAGCTTCTGCACTTGATCTGGCGACCACATCTTGTTTCTTACTTCTCCATGTCACCAAGTTACCGCAAAGAAACATGCAGTAACCAGTGGTAGAACGACGGTCAGTCACGGATCCAGCATAATCAGCATCAGTGTAAACTTCTAAAGAGAGATTGCCGTCACGTCGGAATAACAATCCTTTACCAGGAGTAGCTTTAAGATACTGCAGAATTCTCTCTACTGCTTGCATGTGTTTCTCCTTTGGATCGTGCATAAACTGACTGACAACACTAACAGCATAAGCTAGATCTAGTCTAGTATGAGCCAGATATATCAATTTCCCAACTAGCCGTTGATATTGTCCTTTATCAACTGGAGGACTCTCTTCTTCATAGCCTATCTTGTGATTCTGCTCAATAGGAGTATTAGAGGGTTTACACCCGAGCTTTCCTGCTTCTTTGAGAAGATCAAGAACATATTTCCTCTGGCTAATAAAAATTCCTTTCCTTGAATGAGCTACTTCTATCCCTAGGAAATATCTCAGTTTCCCAAGGTCTTTGACTTCAAACTCAGAGGCAAGCCGTGTTTGCAGAATCTGTTTTTCTACAAAATCATCACCTGTGATAATAATATCATCAACATATACAAGGAGCACAGTAAGCTTCCCATTATGGGAGTGCTTGAAGAAAAGAGTGTGATCTCCTTGACTCTGTCTGTATCCTAAGGTCATCATAACCTTAGTAAACCTTCCAAACCAGGCACGAGGTGACTGCTTCAATCCATACAAGGCCTTTTTTAATCTACAAACTTTATTTTCTCCCTTCACAGAATCAAAACCAGGCGGGATTTCCATGTAGACTTCTTCTTCTAACTCACCATTGAGGAAAGCATTTTTCACATCAAATTGATTTATATCCCAATTGTAATGGGCAGCAAGGGATAACAAGACTCTCACCGTATTCATCTTTGCAACTGGAGCAAATGTTTCTTCATAATCAATGCCATAGGTTTGAGTGTAACCTTTGGCAACTAATCGAGCCTTGTATCTCTCAAGAGTTCCATCAGAATTATATTTCAGGGCATAAACCCATCTGCACCCTACTGCTTTCTTTCCATTAGGTCTATCAATAACCTCCCATGTTTTATTTTTCTCCAACGCATTCATTTCCTCTTGCATGGCTTGAGCCCAATTCCCATCTTTCAAGGCTTCATGTACTGATTTTGGGATTGCAATAGAGTCTAGTGCTGAAACAAAGCTTTTGTGCTGCACAGAAAGATTAGCAGAGGAAACAAAATGGGAGATAGGGTATTGAGTACAAGAGGGACAGGAGGGACAAGATTTCTTGGCACAAGCTCTTTTTCCTTTTCTAAGAGCAATGGGTAAATCATCAGAATCAGTAGTAATGGGTAAGTCATCAGAAGTATTAACATCATGATTAGAAATATGAGATTCAGGACTTACCAGTGGTTCAGACGATTGAGGTTGCTGCTGAGGCAATGTGGGTTGTTTCCTTCTTTGATATACCAACTCAGGTGTCATAATCTTCCGTATCTCTGGTGTACTTGATGTATCAATCACAGGAGAATCAGTCACAGGAGGATTACTCACAGGAGGATCAGACACAGGAGGAACAGACACAGGAGGAACAGGACCAAGAGGAGGATACACTGACACAGGTAAAGGAGTAGACACTGAAGATTCAAACTCAAAGAAGGGAGGTGATGAGATTTCTGGTGAAGGATTCTCCCCCTGAAGATGAGGACCTTGGAAAAAAGACTCAGATTCCTGAAATGTAACATCCATAGAAACAAAAAATTTCCTACTACTAGGGTGATAGCACTTGTAGCCCTTCTTATCAGGAGCATAACCAAGAAAAACACATTTAATAGCCCTAGGGTCCAACTTACTGCGATGATGTTTATGAACATGAACAAAAGCAACACACCCAAACACACGTGGAGGAAGACTCATAATTGGAATAGAAGGGAAAAAAGAAGTCATAGAGTGAATAGGACTTACATGGTCAAGTACCCGAGTGGGTAAACGGTTGATCAAGAAAGCTGCAGTAAGAATAGCATCTCCCCAATAGTATTTGGGTACATGTGTCTGAAACATTAATGCACGAGCCACTTCAAGAAGGTGGCGATTTTTTCTTTCAGCAACCCCATTCTGTTGGGGGGTGTCAACACAAGTAAGTTCATGAATCATACCGTTATTTCTTATAAATTGGGAAAAACTGTGATTAACATATTCAGTACCATTATCTGTTCTTAATCTCTTGATTTTTTTACCAAACTGGGTCTCAACCATTTTATAAAATTGAAAGAACAGTTGTGGTACCTCAGACTTTTCATGCATTAAGTACACCCAAGTTACACGAGTGCAATCATCAATAAAAGAAACAAACCATCTATTTCCAGAAGCATGAGGGACTTTAGAGGGACCCCAAACATCAGAATGAATAAGATCAAAAGGTTCAACACTCTTAGTAATACTAGAAGGAAAAGACACACGATGATGCTTAGCAAATTCACAAACATCACAATGAAAAGACTCAACAGACTTAGACAAAAACAATGACGGAAATAAAGATTTGAGTAAACTAAATGGAGGATGACCTAAGCGCTTATGATGAAGCCAAATCAAAGAATCAGCAGTTGATTGACCATGAGACATCAAGATGTGATATGTTACTTTATTTGCAGGAGATTGTGACACCAGATAGTACAGCCCACCTTGCTCTTTAGCACTACCAATCGTCTTCCCCGTGGCGAGATCCTGAAAAACACAATGGGTAGGATAGAAGGTTACAGTACAATTCAAATCTTTTGTAATTTTATGAATCGAAAGAAGATTCGTGGAGAGTTTAGGAACATGAAGAACATCCTTAAGATGTAAGGACTGATGTAAGTTTATGTCACCAGAACCCGCAACTGATGTATGAGAGCCATCAGCTACGGCTATTGTATGAGTTCCAATGGTAGGATGATAAGAAGTAAAGGAGTCAGCACAACAAGCCATATGATCAGTAGCACCAGAATCAACAACCCAAGAATGTTTAAAATCATTACATGAAGAAATGAAAGAATAAGTTTTGGAGCTCATACCAGTCATAGTCAAAGTACTAGTATCAGATGGCTTACTTAAAGAATCAAGGAGGGTTCGGAGCCGTTCCAACTCATCTGGACGAAATGCAGAATTTATTTTAGAGGAAGTAAAATGTTGTTGACCATGCATGCTATTCATCTTTTCTAAGACAGATTGCTTTCCATGGAGGCGAAAGCATAGATCCTTTATATGACCTGTTCTTTTACAATAAGAACACCATCGATCATCTCTCTTAGGTTCAGAAGTTGCACCATCAGAAAACTTTGTAAAGGAACTCCTTTGAGAAGAGGCCATACTGCACAAAACTTGTCAAAGAATAGCACCAAGAAGCCAAAAAATCACAAACAAATACTAAACAACGTCAGATCTGACTGGAACAGTAACACAGCGGCCGAAACAGTAACACAGTGGCCAGAACAAATACCAAACAACGTCAGATCTGGTCGGAGGCAAGAAATTGGTGAAAGAACAAACTCCAAGAAGCCAAGAAATTCGGAAAAAATACCAAACGATGTCCGATCAAAGTGGAGAGCACAGATCCAGAGCCGGCTTGGAGAGGCGATCAGAACCGTGGTGGTCCGCGGCCGATAACCACCGTCACGCGCCGGTGAAGCTGGCGGCGCGTGGGATTCACGCGCAGAGACAAGGGTGGCGCGTGGAGGCGCGTCTGACCTCCGATGGTGCTGGGTTTTTCAGGCAAAGGTCGTCCGGCGAGCGCGATGGTTTCTGTGGCTGTTCGGAGTGAAGAATCCGCCGGAAAAAAGGGTCCAATCGCGATGAACAGGTTCTGTACGGTGGTTCTAAGCTTTGAAAGTTGATTCTGTGAACGTTTTTTCCTTCTTGTGTAATAGACAAGAAAAAAGAAAGAGGAACACTGAAGGAATGGTCTTCTCGGTCCAAGAGGTTCCCGGAAAAAAAAATTCCGGTGGCGGCTGATGGCAGCGAGAGACGTAAAAAAGAATAAAAAGGTTTCGTAGGCGCGGAAGCAGAGCCCTCAGGATCGAGAGCTCTTATACCAACTTGAAAGAAAAGGGTATTTGAAATATTATTGAATTGTGTAAATAATCTGTACAAAGAGGTCTCTATTTATAGAGAATGAAAACCCTAATACTTGACCTAATTCTTGACCTAATGGGCTTGGCCCAATACAACAAATACTAATAATAATAATAAAATAACAAATATTTACAACAATAATAATAATAAAATAACAAATATTTACAACACATAGTTGTGGTGAAAATATAAGAAAACTAATGCATACCCGGAAAAGACTTGATGCCCACTCATCAACAACTGCCTGCATATATACAAGGCCATGATCAACAAACTGATACAATATGGAACTGCAGAATGCACATGCACACAGATAAATACAAAGATGGATGGATATGACACCGAGTGTGTATGATATGGGCAATATTTATTATGGGGTTTGCTTTTTCTATGGTCAATGTAGATAACTTATCTACAGAGTTATCTACATTGAGCCTAAAACGACGTCGTTTTGAGGCGGAAATCAAGGTATTTTTGTAATTATAATTTATTTCAGGGTTTATAATAGACTTTTTCATTATAATTTTTTAATTTTTTAATTTTTCAACCTAAAATGACGTCGTTTTAGAAGCGAATATAGATAACTTATCTACATTCACTGTAGAAACATTAAAGCCTTTATTATGCCCCCTTATTACTGGGAGTTCATAGAAAAGTAAATAATTCCACATCAACCAGTCTTGAAGCTAAAAGGCATTAGGGGCACTTGAATATAAAATAATATGTTGTGTATTGATCTAATTCAGAGAGTTACAATATATAGAAACTCTAATGGGCTTATATGAAAGGCCCAGACCTAATACAATTAGAATAATTACAGACTCTAATCATATCTAATCAGACTAATCATATCTAATCAGACTAATCATATCTAATCATATCTAATATATTCTAACACTCCCCCTCAAGCTGGTGCGTATATGTTGTGAGCACCAAGCTTGTTACAAATGTATTGAACCTGAGGTCCTCTAAGAGCTTTAGTGAAGACATCCGCTAGTTGATCAGAGGAGTTGACGAAAGCAGTCTTGATTTCTCCTGATTGAATCTTTTCTCAAATGAAGTGACAATCAATCTCTATATGTTTGGTCCTCTTATGAAAGACAGGATTAGAGGATATATGTAGCGCAGCTTGATTATCACAGATGAGATGGGATAGAATGAATGGGTTGTTGATCAAGAAAAGTGACAGCAGCGGAAACTAAGTACCGCTTAAGATCTTGAGAATAACAACGATAACCCTTTTGAAGACGAGAATAACCAAGAAAAATACATTTAAAAGCTTTGGATGTTATGAACAAAACAAGTACAACCAAAGACATGTGGGGATAGAGGATAGAGAGGAACATATGGAAGCAATAAGTGATAAGGAATGTCATTATCAAGCACAGATGAAGGCATACGGTTGATGAGAAAAGAAGGGGCAAGGACTGCATCGGCCCAGAAGTAAAGAGGAACATGCATGTGAATAAGAAGAGTCCGTGCAGTCTCAATGAGGTGTCTATTCTTACGTTCAGCTACTTCATTTTGTTGTGGAGTGTGAGGACAAGTAGTTTGGTGTAAAGTACCCTGTTTGGCTAAGAAATTAGAAAAGTCCACAGAAACATATTCCTTAGCATTATCACTACGTAAAATACGAATAGAGGCACCAAATTGAGTATGAATTTCAGTAGAAAATTTTTGATAAATAGAAAACAACTCAGAACGGTTTTTCATTAAATAGATTCAAGTACAACGAGAAAAATCATCAATAAAGGTAACAAAATACCGAAAACCTAAAACAGACACACTACGACTAGGACCCCAAATATCTGAATGAATAATTGAAAAAAGAGCATCAGCTCGTTTATTGACTCGATTAGCGAAGGAAGAGCGTATGTGCTTTCCTTGCTGACATGACTGACAATCTAAAGTCTGAAGACTGGACAAAAGAGGAACCATCTTCTGTAACTTGGAAAGACTAGGATGCCCGAGGCGACTGTGAATGAGTTGTGGAGATTCTGTGAGAGAACAAGCAACAGAAGGACTCGACACAACCAGGTAGAACAGACCCCGTGACTCACGGCCCACTCCAATTGTCTTCCCCGTACCCGGGTCCTGCACAGAAACAGAATGATTTGAGAAAGTGACAATACAGTTAAGAGAGTTGATCAATTTACTAACAGATATTAAATTGTAAGGGATGTTAGGAATATAATAGACAGATGTTAAGGTCAATGAGGAGGTTGGACAGATTTGTCCAATTCCTTGAACAGGAGCCTTAGTGCCATCAGCAAGGGTAAAAAAGGGTAAGTTATCAGAATATGTAAGGGATGAAAAGAGTTCCTTATTACCACAGAGGTGATCAGTAGCACCTGACTCAAATATCCAAGGGCCAAGTGATGCAGAATGAGAAACACAAGCAACGGGATTACCAGTTTCTGAAGCAGAGGCCTGAGACTGAGGAGAGACCTTTCTGAGAAGAGTTTGGAATGCTGCATAGTCTTCAGAGGAGAGAGAGACTGTACCATTTGAAGCAGAATCCGATTGAGCTATATTAACAGCATAAGAAGGTCGCAAGTGAGGGTACTTTGTGTAGCAACGTTCCTCATAATGACCAAGTTGCTGACAGTAATTACAACGAGGTCGCTGACCACGTCCGACTGGGGCTTCTGGACCACGTCCTCCTGGGGCTCCTGGACCACGTCCTCCCGGGCCTTTACCACGATCACGTCCACCTCCAATGTTCCCGCGAAAGTCAGTACGGGAAACTAGAGCAGTAGAATCAACAGCAAAATATGATGCAGGAGCAGATTTCTTATTCAGATTGAGAAGACGCTGATACGTCATTGAAAGATCAGGCTCCCCACTAGTCAAGATAGTATCCGGACATTATCATATTCTTCAGGGAGGCCAGACAGTGTGGCAACCATAAAGAGGCGTTCCACCTGTTTCCGATATGCAGTAGCATCAGTAGGGTAAGGCAACGTATCCAAATATGCCTGCATCAAAGATCGACTCTTGCCAACATATGTCTCCATCTGAATGTCGGATGATTTGCTCAGTTCCATAAACTGAGAGATGATGAAATAGAGCTGCTGAACATCATTAGTATAGAGGTTTTTTGCTTCCTGCCACACTTCAGTACAAGTTTGAAACGAATAGAAGATGTCCAAGACAACTGGATCAATAGATTGCCAAAGGATGCTCAGAAGCTGGTTGTCGATCTTTTCCCAATCAGACTTTTTCTCCTTAGGGACATCAGTAGACTTAGTCGTGAGGTGGCTCCCATGTCCTTGTCAAAAGAACCAAACTCGAACAGAGGTGGCCCAGTTCTTGTAATTAACAGAACCCTTCAATTTTGAAGAGGTAATGGACCCAACATTGGTAGAGAAGATATTGGGAGAATTTTTGACAGGAGGAGGTGGAGAATTGACCTCCGAATGAACAGAACCATCTGCTGCCATAATAAGAATTCAGAAAGATATAAACCGAGTAAATAGGAAAGAACCTGATCACCGATCAAGAAGGGGTGCGCGCAAAAAGTCAGACCCACACCAAAACAACCACAGATCCAGAAAGAGCAGGAGAAGGCGAGCTTCTCTGTCCAAGACGGCCGAAAAAAGCCGCTGGAAAAGGGCTCACGCGCCGGTAGAAGGTGGCGCGTGAGGCCCACGCGCAGAGGAGCTTGGAGGCGTGTGAGAGCGCGTGGGAGGGGCGTTGCTGACCGGACCTCCACATACCTGGTCGCCGGGAAGAGACGGTCCTGATCGCGTGAAGTTTGGTTGGAAAAGTCGCCGAAAAAAGTCTCTGGTGGCCTGAACAGTGATTCTGGTGGCGGGCGGTGGTTCCGGTGGCCGTCGGAGGTGCTGACGCGTTTGGAAAAATTACTCAGAGGTTGTTTACAACCCTAGATGGCTTGCCGGAAGGACGCACGGCAAGAAAGAGGACTCCTAAGCAGTGGGCTTAGGTATTAAAGCAAAAACAAGGTTTCTAAGCGGAAGCGAGGGTCCCCAGAACGAAAGAGCTCTGGTACCAACTTGAATATAAAATAATATGTTGTGTATTGATCTAATTCAGAGAGTTACAATACATAAAGACTCTAATGGGCTTATATGAAAGGCCCAGACCTAATACAATCAGAATATGATTACATATGATTAGTCTAACAGGGGCAATGAAAAACATTTGGGTGCTAATATATATTCTAAATTCTGAAGTTGCAGAAATTAAATTTTAGTCACATACTACAACATCACCTGAAGATCAGTATTAAGTTTGCCTGCTCTCCTTATCAATCCTACCACAAAACGCAATATCAATATGTCAAGGGAAATTGCTGCTTGAACTCCTGGTCTTTGCACTTTAACAGCGACAACCTGTCCTGTTTTTCGAAGCCTAGCTTGATAAACCTAACAGAAGTTCCAATTTTCAGGTGATAAATTTAAAATTAAAAAATATAGACATGTCCTCTCAGAAACTTTGCAATCATCAGCAAGATAAATACAACAATATGACCAAATATACAAACCTGCCCAAGGGATGCAGCAGCTACAGGCTCCGGTGAAATCTCTGAGAAAATTTCATCCAAAGATAAACCAAGTTCTTGTTCTATCATACTGAAAGCAATTTCAGTGGAAAATGGACTTATTCGATCTTGCAGCAGTGAGAGCTCATTTAGATATGATGGAGGTATCAAATCCTACAAGGACAATTTGTGGGAAATTGCATATCCTCATTACAGTTACTGTAAATTAAAGTGGTCTAATCTAAACAGAAAATAAGAAAAAAGTTACATTTCAACGTAACACATTCAGGCATTGCCAACCCATGTAACACAATTTCTTTGAAACTGCACATGAACTCTAAAACACAAGTGAGAAAAGATTTAGAATACAATATTTAAATAGTTAACAGAATGGAACACCCTCGAATCATATACCCAAATATCAATCAAATTTAACACCGGATCAGAAATCAAATTATGAATATTTTCATGTCTTTGTGTTTAGGACATTTGATTCAAGATGGAGAAGGTTTAAAATACAAATATTTGGAAATATGGCACTCTAAATGTTCTACTAAAATTCAGTTCTTTTATTTCTTTATTTTTTTCCCCGTTGCCTTCCGGGGTATCCTTAAGGAAAACTGACAATGTACCCAAACAAGAAAAAATGGCCTCCTGAATGATGTTTATGTTTTATATAGTTTTCAACAAGGATAAAATGAAAAGGAAGTATGAATGTTGCTGATGTTGTATGTATGCTTAAACAGTGTATCGAGGATGGAAGAGCAAAACAAGCTTTATCGCCAACAAGTGAATTACAGTTTTCTGTTCGCCTTCACCTAAACTCTTCTTCTAGGAGACAATTGACATATGAAAGCCATAGAAGAAGGATCATAAATGACCAGAATCAAACAAAAACATGAAGACCCAGTTTAATAATGTAACAGAGAATCAAGAACTTACAGCACGTGATGATATAGCCTGGGCAATTTTGATATATGCCTGCAATATAAAACAGCAATTTACCAAATCAACCATTTATAGACAATAACAATTAATTATATCACATATTTTAGTTTACAGGCATGATGATTCAACAAAAACCATGACTAAAGTAAATTATCATATATATGATCCAGTATCTATAATGTCCTTTCTTAATAATTGTCATGAACCACCTCAAGCAAGAGCCCTTTCGGTTTGAAGCTTTGGGAGAATTGGTTCATGACATGATATCATAGCCTTTATGAACCAAGTGGTCTAGAGGTCCACTCTTCTAATAAAAATATCGAATTTCAGCACAAGGTAGATGTTGGTGCATTATCCATGCTTCAAGCCCAAGGAATTATTACATGAAGGGGCATGTTAGAGATATAATATAAAATCATTCATGTCTCATCACCTAACAGATTAAACTTTTAGGACAATTAGTTCATGACTGTAATATTAAAGACTTTTTTGAATTTTAATCGTCCCTGCCATATTTGATAAGACTGTTGAGGAGTGGTATTAGATAGCTCATCAGAACACACCAGGAAGGTAACAAACCAGAGGTATCGTGCAAGTCTCAATGAAGCCTCCATTTGCGATTGAGTTGAAAGAACAACTCAACATCCAATTTTGTGATGACATTTCTGGTATTATAAAGAACCAATTCAATCCAAAAGCTTAAGCTGTTAGATAAGGTTATATTAATGGTTTATATATCTATAACACATCCCCTCACACGAGAGCCCACTTGGCTTGAAGGGTGGACAATGCACAAACTCACTACTTGTGTTAAGAAACTCCACAAGACTTAATTAATTATTAACTAAATGGGGGGCAGTGAGGATCGAACCCGTGACACCGAGGCTCTGATACCATGTAAAGAATCAATTCAACTCAAAAGCTTAAGCTGTTAGGTGAGGCTATATTAATGATTTTATATATCTCTAACAGGTATCAATGAACACTTGGTAAATTTTGATTTGGAGATAGCAGAAGTTAAAGTTGAAATGAGTCATATTCGGCGTGAGATAAGTGAAATGCATTCTGAGATGAGTACCCAGACTGATGTTGTTATGAAACAACTGAATGAACTGAGTGTAAATATGATGAAAATGAGAAATGAAAGGTACTTTTATGAATCTAATTCACGTTTTGCATTTGGGGTTGAACCGACACTTAGGATTGAATCAAGTTTCTCATTTTGGGTTGAACCAACACTTAGGTTTGAATGTGGTGAGCATGAAGGTTCGTTTAACTCTGATTCTATTAGCACTGGATCCACTGAGAAAAATTCAAATGTATCAGGTTTGACTAAACACCCACATGATCAGAAAGACCTACGTGTTCAGAGGACCAATATCTAGGAATTGAAACATTGATTCATTCTCTCCCCAGCTATTCAACAAGCTAGAAAGAAAAAAAGAATACATATAAGGCACAGAAGGAAACTAAAAACATAAATAAAAATAGGGACAGGAAATAGGACAAGAAAAACAAAAAACATATGAGCGGGGAATTATGGTAATGATCAATTTGGTACCCTTTTAAAAAGTTGGGGGTGCAAATTTTGGAAGTCGAATTTTTAATTAAAAATTTAAACTTATTTCTGAAATTTTCACCTACATTCCAGGGGGCAAATCAACGTTAACCAGTCTAACCCATTTTACAACATATCTGTGAATGAATAACATCAATGACCCTTATCATTACTCAATACAAAGATAAAAAACACCAAGTTCAACGACAAAAGGCATAAAAAAAATAAAAATAAAAATGTTCAAGACTAATATAAAATAATCCAGGATGACATACCGGCCCAAGTTCCACCAATATCCTCCTTAGCTCAGCAGCTCTAACCTGCAAAACCAAACAACAATAAAAAAATAAAATACACGTTTTGTTCACTTCATTGCAAACAGCAATGAAGATTATCCACTCTTGACATTGAGTAATCAATTCTTTCATAGATCTCAAAAACACTCCCCGCTAACAATTACAACCCTTTTCTTCAAAAATTCTCTAATCCAATAACGTAAACAACTTCCTCCAAAATGGTGTACTCTAAAGATAATAATAAATCATTTTCTGTAAAAATTTCAAAATTTTCTACCCGAATAATAGAGAAACTATTTCCTCCAAACCTACAAAATCACCAAACCTTAATTCACCATAAAAAAAAAAAAAAAAAAAAGAAACCGAGAGAAAATTCCGAAACCTCAAACATTTCATCAGAGCGGTCAAAGAGAGTGTCTAGGTAGCGAAGACCGAACCACTTGCCGAAAGCGAACCCGGTCTGGAGCAAGCGTCGAGCCACAACCAGAGGCTTTCTGTAATAAATGGCCGCAATTTTCGATATTCTATACTCCGCCAGAGAATCCGCCTCCGTCGCGCTCAGCTCGAACAAGTAGCCGGACTTCGCCGTGAACGTATCGGCTTCGCCGCCGTAGGAGGCGGCCGCGCATCTGACGGAGCAGCGGCGGGAAGCAGTTCGGTTTTGAGGTTGAAACCGGAGAGAGGCGAGAGAAGGAAAGGAGGAAAGAGAATGCATGGGAAGGATTAGCATTTTTCAGTTCACAATGCACAAAGTGTGTGTTTTCAAGTTTTGCGGATTGAACTCGGAAGAAAGAGATTATGACTTATGAGAACTTATATAAGTATAGCTAATTTGTTCTTACTACAAGAGAAGGGAGTTACGGTTATGGTTGTTGTGCGGTCATGGCTTCTTGGTGACCTCAAAATTTTAATTTTTTATTGCGATTAGTGAAATAAAAGAAGGACTGTTTGTTAACGTCTCTCTTGTGGTTCTTGTATTATTATAATTGGGTTATGTTTATCTCATTTTACATGAGATAAACATCTCTCCTACACACAAAAAGAGGTTGAGTCCCACCACTTTTTTTTTCTCTCTCCTCTCACATGTGGGTCCCATTTATACTTTTGTTTTTACAACATAAAGTAATTCTTTTCCTACAACATAAGAAAAATATATCTCATTATAATTATTATTATCATCATCGTGTCAACCATATACCAAGAGATAATAGAATATTCTAAACAAAAATTGTGTGAAATGGAAAGGTATGTGACAGATATGTAAAATGAAAAAAAAAATGTTTATGAATACAATATCGCATGTAGATCATCCATGCGTCACATAATCTAAACTGATATATTTAATAACGCGTGTGCATATTAATTCACAAAAATGAATATGAATGAATAAAAATAACAATATTTAGTATTTTCTCTTATTAGTAATTGAGATGATTTAATGAAAAATAATAAATATTATTTTGATTCCATCAATTTCAGTTTACAAAAACATGCATGAATATATATAAAAATGTATGAACAAATATTTTGGTATACTAATATCAACGCAACTAATTGTTGATGAGCTCAAATCATTCTCCTTCATCTACTTTTTCACTAATACTTTTAACGGAGATGTCAAATATTGGTGTTGATGGGTAAGAAATAACTTGCTCTAAACAAGAGTTCCAAATGACAGGAACTCAGAGAATAGATCACGCATTACAACCCAAGATTCTCCCTCGAATTTTTCTACCCTCCTATTTCTATAACTGCGAAAACATTTTCTATGTTGTTTTATTTTATTTCTTTTCAACATTTATGAGTTGGTTTGATAAGTTTGGTCCCAATGTTTGGTTTGTAATAGTTTTGCTCATCATCTTGTGTCGGCTACCCTGAAAAACAATAGAAACACTTACAAACATCAATAATTCAAGAGGGTCCTAAACATTCTAATTTTAGAGAATGGATACTCTCGTAATAAAATTTTACATGATCTGATTATGTGAAATTTTTGTGTATATTTTCCTTTTCACATGCATTAAATAAGTGGGGTCCAATTATCATTAATGAAAAAAGAGATAGAGACAAAAATTTCACATGATCAAGTCATGTGAAATTTTAACCTAAGAGGATCCACTCCCCTAATCTTATCATGTGCAAGGTGGACTTAGAGGAAGGGTTATCATTTTATTTTATTTTTGCATTATTTAGTGGAAAAAAATTCAAATTACTACAATTTTTTATTTTTTATTTAATTATAATAATTTAATTTTTTTACCTGCATCAAATATTAATGATTTCATGATATTAAAATGGGAAGCTTGACCCGTTGCTTTATAATCTGGTTAAAATATATATCTTTAATATATTTCTAATTTTTATGTTGAGTAATTTAGGTTGTTTAACCAAATTGTACGCTTTTAAATTAATGTATCAATTTGTCATACTTTATAAATTATGTATCAATCTTCCTCTGTTGGATCAAAGTTAACCAACTGGGCCTCGCAATAAAGTCAAATTATATATGTAGCGTGATGCTACTCACCGTTTGATATTTATTTGAATAAATAAGGCATTGAACTGAGCAAATAAAGAAAGAAAAAGAAAATCAATATCATATTTTCTATAATAAGGTAAAAAAAGAAGAAATCAATATCATATCAGGATAATACGGAAAGAAAAAGAAGAATCAATAATAATAATATTATTATTATTATTATTATTATTATTATCAATAATAAATTTGATATTTTTAAATTTATAAGAGCTTTGAAATATTATCGTATAACCATATTAATATTATTAATGAATATTGATTTTACTTTTTCCTTCCTTATTTACCAAACAAATTTGAGGACATTGAATTTTGAGGACAGAAAATGAAAACATTAATAGTTAAATTATCATTGTCAATAATAAATTTGATATTTTTAAATTTAGAGAGATTTCAAAATATCACAATATAAATGAGAATTACATTTCCTAATCCTTGAAAATTCAAAAGTAATAATATAATTTTTATTTTTTCCCCTTAATTATACGACAGCAAAAAAAGAATATAGTGGATAGGATTTGTTTTAAATAAGGGAAAAATATTTATGCAGTTGATGCAGATAAATTATCTGCATTTATTTCCAAAACGATGTCATTTTGGTATTAAAATCTTAAAAAATTATAAATATAAAGATTATTATATTCCTGAAATAAATTAAAATTATAAAAACACCATTATTTCTGTTCAAAAAAGACATCGTATTGGGCTTACTGCAGATAAGCTTACGGCAGATAACTTATCTGCAGTAATTGCAAAAAAAGTAAAAGGAAAATATTCAATAGGCAAATGATCATTGCTAATAATATATTTAACATTATTAAATTTATAGAGATTTCAAAATATATCTGTATATACGAGAATCATATTTCAAAATCATTGTAAATTAAAAAATGATAATATAATAATATATTGATTTTTTTCTTATTCGTAAAAAACTTATTAATCAAATAATCATAATAATTTGATTTTTTTTATATTTTTAAAAAAAATTAAAAATTAGATCAGACAATTAATAATTGTTTATAATTTTAAATATTATTTAACCTAATAAAATAATATTAATTTAATGTCAATTTAATCAATGTAATCTTCTTTTGATAAAAAAAAAAATTTGGTAAGCTCTTCTTTTGATATTTACTTGAACAAGTAGAGGTCGACTTTAAAAAAATAAATATATAATTCAAAAATAAGATAAATTAGTAATTTTTTTAAAAAAGGCAATATATTTTAGATGAGCCAATAATACGGGCTTTTACCCAATTAGTTTTTAATGTTATGGGTTTTTTCAATCTACGGGTTCTAGTTTTTTTTTCTCATATAATAATGGGATTTATTAGTTTCTTTTTTCACGTAAGCTAACTATCTTATGTTATAAATAGGTTGGTCCATCATTACAAGAAAAAGAAAAAAAAGATGGGAACATAATAGAAAGCATGTTAAGGAGAATAAACAGGGGGCGTTTGTCACAGAGGAGAAGACTGAAGAGTACTCTCCTCATCAGTCATCATCATCAAAGCCAGCCACCAGCAACGTCATCGCAATGTCTGATTTTGTTCCGGAAGGTATAGTGGAGGAAATCCTCCATCGCCTACCGCCAAAAAGCATTGGAAAATGTATGGCAGTGTGCAAATCTTGGAACTTATTGATAAAAAGCCACAGCTTCGTTTCCTCGTATCATCAAGCAGCACACACTCCTCCTCCTCTCTTCCTTGTCAAGACCTCACTGTATCAGGGTTTTCTATGCTCCCAGTCCCCACCAAATATCGAATGCTTGTTTTCAATTCCTAAAGTTAAAGATGTATCCAGGTTTGTGGGCGCTGTCAACGGCCTCGTTTGCCTCAATTCCTACCAACCTGGACGTGATTCCAACATGAATTACATCCTCTTTAACCCTCTGATACGGAGACACCTCCAACTCCCAATCTCCCAAACATTGTATAACTCAGGCAGAGATCTCAATCTTTGTTTGGAGTATGGATTCGATCTTGGTTTGGGGTATGGATTTGGGTTTGATTCCAAGAAGAAAGATTTCAAGGTGGTACATATGTGTTACACTCGCGACTTCAAGGCTCCTCCTAAGGTGGAGTTGTATTCCCTCAACGAAGGTGCTTGGAGGGTTCTTAATACTCCATTCGTGAAACCAACACTCGACCAATATGTATTTTGTTACGTTCGCCGTTGTGGGCAACAATTATTTTTCCAGGACAGTGTGCATTGGCTTGTCAAAGAGGTAATGTTGAAAGAATTATTTCAACCCAAAACTTTAAAGCACTAATGCTTTCTTTATTGCATTTTTGTTTTCAGTTGGTGGATTAAGATTATTTATTATTTATTGGGTTGTTTATACTGATATGCAGTGCGGGGACGAGATGATGAATCAAATTAACGCGAAAGCTGAAAAGGCAGAATTTGATAGATGGTGGATATAGTAGGAGGTGAAAAAGTTCCATGTGAACCAAAATCCCACATTAAATCTAGGATTATGCTTTTATTTTAATTTCTTTTTCCTTCCTAATCTAGTTATATTGAACATTTGTTACATGATGAGGAGAATCATGAAAGCCATTGCTGGTTGCTATATATATTTAATAAGTTATCTAGGACATCAGCGTTATCCTTGTCGATTGCCAAGACTGATCCTGACTTTTTACATGCTATTTAGTTGGATAAAATTGAGCAAGATTTACATGTGTATTATTCACTATATCCCCATTTTCCTAGTCTGTGTCCGCTAGATTATTATTACCATTAGCTGAGGTTCTTTTTTAGGGAAATTAATGGGAAAAAAATTAATTTAATGATTTTATATAAAATAATTATGTCTTTATTACAGTTTTGAGAATAATTACGGATCTATTGCACAATGTGACGCTCCTTTTGAGCGTCACATGTGACGCCTCATTTAGAGGGAGACGCCCCAATGAGGCGTCTCTCATGAGGTGTTGACACGTGTCATAATTTTTTTCCAAAAAAAAAATAATTTAATCATAAAACTTCTGAAGGTCATAACTTTTGATTCGGGTATCCAAATCAGGTAATTCTTTTTTTGATTCCATATAACTTTTCGAGATCTACGCAATGACATCTCATTTGAAATATTTTATTACTCACAAACACAATCTTAATTTGTAAAAATGGTATTATAAGAGCGGTTAAACTCAGAAGCCTCTGAGTTCTGGATTTGTGATTTAATATAAAAAAATAAATAACATTTTGATTTGTGATTTAAAATTTTTTTATAATAAATTTTGTTATTATAACAAAAATTTGGTTTGTGATTTAAATTAAAAATAAAATAAAAATTATTATTAATAAGGAAAACAAAATAAAGATTTGATTTGTGATTTAAACTACAAAATCAATTTGAAAAATCTGTAGAAATAAAGAAAATAATTAAATAAATATTCTAAATCTCTAAGGAAGAAGGATATTATTTTTGAAATTAATGATTAATGCTATAAGCTTCTGGGGTATTACTCGTGGTCTAAAATTAATGATGGCTTATGAATGTTTTTCAAAAATAAAATTACCTAAATTAGGCGTGATTGCCTCTTGATTGAAACTCAATTTAGACGTGATTGATAACGTGTCAGGTGTTGACACATGTCACATTTTTAAATTCAGAAACCTCTGAGTTCTGCGTTTGTGATTTAATATAAAAAATAAATCAAGATTTGATGTGTCATTTAATTTAAAAAATAAAAAAATTTATTTTTATTACAGAAAAAATTTGGTTTGTGATTTAAATTAAAAGTAACAATTATTATTAATGAGAAAAATAAAATAAAGATTTGATTTGTGATTTAAACTCAAAAATCAATTTGAAAAATCTGTATTAATAAAGGAAATAATTAAATAAATATTCTAAATCTCTAAGGAAGAAGGATTATCTGATTTAAATTTAAATTATGTTTGTGAGAAATAAAATATATCAAATGAGATGTCATTGCGTAGATCTCAAAAATTTATGTGGAATCAAAAAAGAATTACCTGAATTGGATACCCGAGTTAAAAGTTATGACCTTCAGAAGTTTTATGATTAAATTATTATTATTTTTGGAAAAAATATGACACGTGCAACACCTCATGAGAGACGCCCCATTGGGGCGTCACATGTGACGCCTAAAAGTGATGTCACATTGTGCAATAGATCCGTAATTATTTTCAAAACGATAATAACTGCGTAATTATTTTATTAAAAAACATTACATTAATTTTTTTGCCGAAATTACTGCGCTAAGTCTTTATTCTCCGCAATGTTAATGTTGACGTTGAACTAGAAGCTAGTAATAATTTAAATTGAATCTTTTATTTATGGGTTTTATTAATCTCATGTTAAAGGAGATAGTTATCTCATGTCATAGAGATAAATTTGTGAGCTCCACCGCCTGAAAAAATAAAAGAAAAGAAAAGAAAAAAGTAACACGGTTATCGAAGGGTGTGTAGGAGAGAAAACTTAGTAGTTTTTCCCTTTTATTATACATCATCAAAAGGATGAAAAACAAACAAAAGAAAATGCACAAATTAAACAAAAAAAAAATAAACACACAAGCTATCCCATTATACAGTATTACACAGTATTAACCACTCCCCGTTAAACCCAACTAGCGAGTGTGGGGTGGAGAAAATCCTTGTACGCAGCCTTACCGTTACATAATTGCAAAGGTGTGATCATACAGTATTACACAAATTAAAATTAAAATAGCAGGATTTGATGCTGCCTCCGTACCACCATGGAAAAGAACAAGAGACACCATCCCAGACACTATATATAACATGTACAGTATTACACAGTACTGCACCTGTCCAAAATAAACTTATAGAGAGAACCTGTAAACACGGATTGCAACATCAGAGGAACTAGATGACGCACCATGATATGAGGTGCTACACCATTATCGCTCAAAGAAGTTGCGGTGGTTATTTCAGGAGAAGTACATAAAGAAAATTCTGAAGAGGTTCAACATGGATCAATCCAAGATAGTTAGTACTCCTCTAGCTGGACACTTCAAGTGGACTCAAAAGCAAGGTCCAAGAAGTGACGAAGAAAGAGATGAGATGAGATGTCAAAGGTCCCATATCATTCAGTTGTATGCAGTCTTATGTATGCCATGATAAGTACGAGGCCCAACCTTGCTCATGCAGTCGGGATTGTAAGCCAATTTCTATCGAATCCAGGTAGGGAGGATTGGGATGTTGTCAAATGGATATTCAAATATCTCAAAGGTACAGTAAATAAATATTTGTGCTATGGGATAGGAAAACCTGAGTTAGAAGCCTACTCGGATAGACTTGGGTGGAGATGGCGACTCGAGGAAGTCAACCACAGGTTACATGACTGCTTTTGCAGGGAAAGCCATTTCCTAGCAGTTCAAACTCCAGAAGTGTGTTGCCCTGTCTACTAACGAAGTCAAGTATTTTGTTGCAACTGAAGCTTGCGAGGAGCTAGTGTGGATGAAGAGGTTCCTACAAGAGCTTGGCCATAATCAGGAGAAGTATGTGTTGAAGTGTGATAACCAGAGTGCTATACACTTAGCAAAGTACTCAACTTTTATGCATGGTCAAAGCACATTGATGTGCGCTACCATTGGATTCGAGATGTAATAGAAGAGAAGTTTTTGCAGCTCGACAAGGTGCATATCAACCTAAATTGGTCAGACATGATGACCAAGACGATTCCAACATTGAAGTTCGAAGACTGCTGCAAAGGTGCCGACATATAACCCCGTCTAATTAAGTCGGAAAGGGGGAGATTTGTTGGATTTTTCCTCTTGGATTATATGTGACGCTAGCAGCAACTTCAAGTAAGCAATGGTGAAATTGAACCACAGTGCGACACGTCAGCAAGGTTTTTACAGAATGGAATTCCTTTATAATATAAGATAAGATAGATAGATTATTTTTGCATCAAGAGGGCACCATAGCCTAGAACAACAGAAACTACAACGGATTACAATTCATATCCCCGATATTATGTATGTAAAGAATCATGCGAATCAGTGAGGAAACACACAGAAAAATTAGCATTAAAAATCTTGTTCATCTATGATTTCAACTTTCAAGAAATGAGAAGAAAACCGAAATGGAGAGTAAATGCACATTTCCCCTTTTATTTCATTTGATAGCGGCTATCTCCTAATAACTTTTGGGAAAAACACTATCTTAGTGTGTGTGTGTGTGTGCGCATATATATATTCTATTAATTAATATGATAAATATTATTATTAATAAGTCAAGTTAGCCTATATATGTATACATTTGGTCTTAGCCAATTTCCCTATCGCTTTTTTATTTTCCGTATCCTCTTCAAAATTTTGAGCGAAATATTTTGAATTATCTCTTCGGCTTTTGCACAATAAGCCCCTATTTATATTTTCATATTAATTGTTATCTTTTCATTATCATCTTCATTCATTCATTAACATCATTTCCTAGGCTATGCGTGGATCATTGTGAAAGGATGCAATTATTACAATGTGCATACTTCCTTCCATGCGTTGTTTAGTGCGTGTGGTTATAATAATCACAACATCAATTTAATTTTTAGGATATATTCCAGAAAAAACTTAGATTTATCTTAATTGTTGCATAGATTTATCTTTTCAAATTTCATTTACTCTTAACACTAAATTTTCATTCAATTCAAAAGTTAATAATAATTAAAATTTGCACTAAGTTACCATTTATCTTTTCAAATCTATCTTAATTGTTGCATAGATTTATCTTTTCAAATTTCCACTAAGTTGCCGTTTAAAGTTTCCAATAAAGTCAGAATGAGCATGAACTGACCTAGCTTTTCTCTCATGGTCTACTTATCGCTCCCTCTCCTACGAAAAAAAGACCCTGCAGCTTGTGGTTGTTGAGGAAAATCGCGTATGTACAAATGAATACTAAACATAAATCACGAGGTGAGGTGTGGCCATCAGTTAACAAAACGAAGTAAATTTTACTTAGTGCTTGGGTTTGAAATTTATTGGAAATATCTTAATTAGTCTGAGTGTGCGAACAAGTGCGTTTTTTATTTTTTATTTTTTAGGAAAAAAAAACTAAATGCAAAGCAACTAAGAAAATAATTTAGCCTAGAATCTCTTGTAGTAGAGGTGGGAAAAATGAGTGGGAGTGGGAGCAAACCGTCGTTAACTGCGGAAGAGGATGATCTCCTCCAACGGAGTACTTTAAAACTGAAAGCGAGCTCTGTGGGAAATGTTGAAGTTGTGGTGACTGGACATCATAATCCAGGTTTATCTCAAGGTCAAAAAATTGTTTCGTATAAGGATACGCTTCTGCAATTTAATGGAGGATGGGGGGAAGCTGAGGGTGATAAAGAAGACTGTATATCTGAGCAGTGGAATGAAGCATAAAAGGATGATGTGATGGAGGAAATAGCTACTGATGATGGAGACAGTGATCCACTTTGTCCTAAATATCAGTACTCGCAGGAGATGCATAAGGAGATTTGCAAACAATGGAAAAAAGCATTGATTGTAAAGCTGCTTGGGAAACGAGTAGGGATCAAATTCTTCATAGCAAGACTTGATAAGATGTGGAGCCTGAAAGGAGCACGTGAATTTATTGATATGAAAAACGGATACTTGCTGGTGAGATTTGCAGATGAAGAAGATTATACTCATGTATTTCAAGAAGGTCCTTGGATCATTGTTGGTCACTATGTGATTGTCCAACGATGGAGACCATTTTTTGATCCTTATGATGAGACGTTCAAGAAGCTAGCAGTATGGATGAGGATTCCAAGATTGCCCATTGAATTCTACACATCACACCACTTGTGGCAAATAGGCAATTTATTTGGGAAGACCCTGAAAATTGATCACAACTCAATTCGTACAAGAAGCTCAGGTGAGGAAGAAACAACAAGAGCTAAATTTGCTCGCATTTGTGTTGAGGTGGATCTTCGGAAGGGATTCTTATCGAAATTTAAAATCGCGAAGCATACATTCCATGTAGCTTATGAGGGTCTACACATGATATGTTTTGCGTGTGGGAGATATGGTCATCGAAAGGATCAATGTGGTGGTAGTATTCCTAATGCTGACCAGCAACCGACACCAATCATGACACATTCTGTACAGAAGAACATCAGGCAGGAAGTGGCAGATGAGGCGAGTGCTTTTGGCAGTTGGATGATTGTGCAGAAACCGACAAGAGGTCGCAGGGCAAGGGTTTCGCCGGAGATCGTTACGCAACCAACAATAATTAAGACTCCAACTGTAACGACAACAGTATCCCAATCAAAGCAAATCAATGCCAATAATTCAAAAAGCAAATCCCAGGCAATAATTAGGGAGGAGCCGTTAAACAAAGAAAAAGGAAATGTTACGATAGCATTAAAGAAGAATGAGAAATCTCATCAATCACAGCCTATGATTGGGGGATCATGCTTTGATGCTCTCAAGACAGTTACAGATGGTGTAGAGGTTGAAGCGGTTATTCAGGATGGTATTGAGGAAAATTGCAATAAAGAAGGTGGTGTTCAGAATCTGGTGAAGGAATTAAAAAATGACAATACACGTGGAAGGAAAACAGTTTCTAAGGAAGATCCATCTGTCACTAGAGACCTTAGTCAGCCCACTTTGACCAAGAAAAATAACAAAAATTTGCGTGGAACTTTATCCCTTGCCCTGAAAGCTAAATCCCATATTATGAAGAACACTAGCAGTTCTCGACAGCAAAAACTGGGGTCCGCTACAGGTGCTGGGACTAAAGGCTTTGAGGCAGCTTTGATCTTACCGCCACCTAATGGAGGAAAAGCTGAGACGACAGTTGAAGAAGGGGTGCCTGAAGACAAGCCACTTGATGCTCTCGATCCAATGTTGCAGGATAAGGGAAGTGCCAAGGATGCACAAATGTTGGGAAATACCATTGTTTCTGGTGGCAGTAAAATGGGTACTGATATGTATCAATGATGAGCTTGTGCTCTTGGTTCCTGACTATCTTTCTTTGTTTTTTTATGATAGTTTTCTCATGGAATTGTAGAGGGCCTGGGAGAAAGGGCTTCTGTCCCCTTGTTAGAGATCTTATTAGTAAATTTCAGATTAAAGTTTGTTGCTTATTAGAACCTCGAATAAGTGGTCAACGTGCCACTAGGGTTATTCGTAACCTAGGTTTACCTAGCTTTTTCCTTCATGATGCAGTGGGATTTTCAGGAAGTATATGGTTGCTTTGGGATCCATCAGTTGTCAGGTTAGAGATTGTGCAGTCCCACTTTCAATTCATTCATACCAGAATTTCTTGGATCCATGAGCATAAAGAGGAGTTCATCACCTTTGTTTATGGTAGTCCTCGAAGACAAGAGCGTAGACAATTGTGGGAGAATCTAAACCAGCTGAGAAACACAGTTACTCTGCCGTGTATGCTCATGGGGGATTTTAATTCCTACATCCATTCCAGTGAAAAGTTTGGGGGAGGGGAACCAGATTGGCGCAGCATACAAGACTTTAATGATTGCCTCTTGTCTTGTAGCCTGGCGGATGTAGGCTATCAAGGTCCTAAATTCACTTGGCAACTAGGCAGATTGCAAGAAAGATTGGATATGGTGGTTGCTAATGACATCTAGAATGTTTCCTTTCCTGATAGCATGGTTAATCATATGCCTTTCTACGAATCTGATCATAGACCGGTTATGCTTAGTAATGGGAGAACTAACGTCAACGTGTTAGGTCAAAGACCCTTTAGATTCATGGCAGCTTGGTTGACGCATGAGGAGTTTCATCATGTTGTCAAGGATAGTTGGCCAGATAGGGTGACTTGGAAGGAGGCAAGTACCAGTTTTAGACAGAAAGCGACGACTTGGCACCACGACACCTTCAAAATTACGATACAGCAGAAGAGAAATCTCCATGCTAGGTTACGTGGTATTGATGAAAGTCTTTGCCAATACCCTAGTAGTTCTCTGGAGAGATTACAAAAGGAGCTTTGGAATGAATTAAACGCTATTTACATTCGAGAGGAGCTCACTTGGTTCCAAAGATCTCGTCTCCAATGGATCTCTAATGGGGATCGTAATACTCGTTTATTTCATTCATCTACTGTGATGCGTAGAAGGAAGAATAGAATTGAAGCCTTGAAAGATGATAATTGTGAGTTGATTGGTGATCCTAACCAATTAATGGATATGGGAGTTGCTTATTTTGAAGACTTATATCGAGAAGATTGCTTGCCGAAGCCTTTGTTGCCCACTTCGAATTGCTTTCCTGAGATACAGTCAGATGTTCTTCATCGCTTGGGTAGAATTCCGGATGTGGAAGAAATCAAGATGACTGTTGCGCAAATGGGATCTTACAAAGCTCCTGGAGTAGACGGTTTACATGCAGCCTTTTTTCAATCCCAGTGGCATCTCATTGGTCCATCGGTGTGCAGTTTCATTAGGGAGGTGTTTGAGGATCCCATGAAAATTAAGGAGGTTAATCAGACTTTGTTGTGTTTGATTCCTAAGCTTGAGGCTCCTGAATCGTTTAAACACTTCAGGCCTATAAGCGTGTGTAATGTCATCTATAAAGTTGTCATCAAAGTAGTTGCCAATCGATTGAAGGACCTTATGCCTAGCATAGTCATGCCCAATCAATGCAGTTTTGTAAAATTGAGGCATGGCTTTTGATAATATCATTGTTGCCCAAGAGATCATTCATTTGATGGGTGCAAGAAAGGCAAGCAAGGATGGATGGCTGTCAAAATTGACTTGGAGAAAGCTTATGATAGACTAGGATGGGATTTTTTAGAAAATACTCTTCATGATCTTAAGTTTCCAACTAATCTCATTCATCTTATCACGAGTTGTGTTTCGACTTGTTCTATGAACATCCTTTGGAATGGGTCCACCACTAAGGAATTTTATCCTACGAGAGGGATTCGCCAGGGGGATCCTCTTTCTCCATATCTCTTTGTGTTATGTATTGAGAGGCTTGGTCATCTTATTAATGCTGATATATCCCATGCAGGTTGGAAGTCTATTGTCCTTAAGAGAAATGGCCTCCCTATATCACATCTATTTTTTGCAGATGATTTGTTAATTTTTGCAGAAGCTTCAACTGAGCAAGCTGGTCTAATTTCGAAAGTCTTAGACTTCTTTTGTAAAGCTTCGGGTCAGAGGGTAAGCAGTAACAAGAGTAAGATCTTTTTTTCTAGTAATATCCATCACAGTCGTGCTCAGGAAATCAGTGATCAGATGGGTTTTGCCTTAACATCTGATTTAGGGCAATACTTGGGTATCCCGTTTCATCAAAGAAGAATTGGGAAAAGGTCCTTTAGCTATGTGTTGGATAGAATTAACTGAAGATTAAATTCTTGGAAGCAATCAAATTTATCTCTTGCTGGTAAGGTGACTTTGGCAAAATCAGTGCTTTCTACAATCCCTTTATATCCGATGCAAACTTCCATAATCCCTAAAACTACTTGTGATGACATGGAGCGTAAAACTAGGAGTTTCATATGGGGAGATACAGTAGATTGTAAGAAGACTCATTTAGTCTCCTGGGATACCTTATGTAGGAAGAAGCAGGACGGTGGTCTAGGAATTAGACAATTGAAAGGGATGAACCAAGCTATGATTATGAAAGTGGCTCATGGGTTGATGACTGATACTGAAGCTTTGTGGTGTAAAGTTCTCAAAAATAAATACAAAGTGGGCACCCAGTTGTTCCCAAATGTAAGAGTCTCTAGAACTGGATCGAATCTGTGGAAAGGAGTAGCTCGAGTTTGGCAGCCTGTGGTGGATAATTCTCGAGTTCTTCTTGGTAATGGACAGAACACGTCTTTTTGGAATGATCGTTGGGTTCCTAATTGTACTCCTCTTTCCCAGCTTGCGGTGTATCCGATTCCTGAAGATTGTCTTTCATGGACGGTGGCTGGATGTGTAACTAGTCAAGTTCAAAACCTTGTTCCTCCTTTCTTACAAGGTGGTCCAGATTAAGTGATTTGGATAGGGACTAGCGACAGTAAGTTTTCAGTGAAGACAACTTACTCTTTCATTGCACAAACGGAAGTGGTAGATAATGTATTTCCATGGGACAAAATTTGGAAATGGCTTGGTCCTGAGAAGATCCGATGCTTTCTTTGGTTTTTTGTTGGGGATAAGCTCTTGACTAATGTGAAGCGTGTTCAGAGGCATATGGCTGATTCAAACATGTGTTCCAGATGCTTAGTTTCAGAGGAGAATTCCATACATGCTATTCGTGATTGTCATATTTCTAGAGATGTTTGGAAACTTCTTGTTTTGCAGGTAAAGCAAAGGAATTTTTTCTCCCAACGTTTCAATGATTGGTTGCAGTCAAACCTCGTGGTTGGTGATATGGGAGATAATCGGGAGTGGCCTTTGATTTTTGGTATTGCTTGTTGGTTCATTTGGAATACCAGAAACAAAATGATTTTTGAAGGATCTCAGGCTAATGCTTATAGCATTATTCGACAGATTTGGTGTTACCATGATTATGTGTTGCAGTCTAGAGTTTTTTTTGTATCTTCTGGTCTTTATCGAAGGAATAAAGAGGAGCGATATATTCGCTGGACCTTTCCTCCAGATAGTTGGATAAAGATCAATGTAGATGGGTCTTGTACAATGGGAGGAATGCGTACTGGGTGTGGAGGTGTTCTTAGGGACGATACTGGGAGTTGTATTGTTGGCTTCTCAAAATACCTTGGTTGGGGTAATTCTCTTACAACAGAACTTTGGGGTTGCCTTCTAGGACTTCAGATAGCTTGGAGAAGAAATTATCGTAGAGTGTGGTTGGAAGGAGACTCAGTGGTCGCTATTGATTTTATCAACAAAGACTGTAATCAGGAACACCCTCTGGCTACTTTGGTTCATCAGATTCGCCATTACATGCAAAAGGACTGGCTTGTTCATGTTTCCCATGCTTACAAGGAAGGAAATCGTCTTGCGGATGCTCTAGCTGATCATGCTCATTCCTTTGGTTGGGATTTGCAAGAATTTACAGCTCCTCCAAATTATTGCGAATCCATTTTGAGGGATGATGTTGTTGGCGTGGCTATGCCCAGATTGTGTCTTTAGTTGTTTTGTTTAATTTTCAAAAAAAAAAAAAAAGTTTCCAATAAGTTTTCATTAAATTTATCTTTTCAAATTCCATTTGACCTGTTATACAAAAAAAAAATCCATTTGACCTGTTATACAAAAAAAATTCCATTTGACCTAACCATCTATTACTATTGAAGCAATCTGCATTGCAACCGCATCACGTTACCATCATTATGAGTTACCACAATATTTAAGTTTTCATACCAATCGAAATACAACAGGTACAATAAATAATCCAAAAAATTTATTAGACTCAACAGCTTCCAATGTTAGTTTAAAAATATATTAACATATGACTTTTTTAAATTATTTAAAATCCCTAATTCAATATTAATGGTTTTGCATTAAAAATAATTTTTTAAAATCTTAATTGAATACACCATTTTTTTGGTAAGCTAATTGAATACACCATTTAAATAAAAAAAATCTTCTCTCATAGATATTATTTAAAAAAATATTAATATTGATTTGATTAAATTTAACATTCGATATAAAAATAATACATTGATATAGAAAAATTAAGAAAATGTATCGCGCCTAACTATACGTTAATATATAATAAAATGCTCCATATTTGTGTTTTTTTAATAATACTTAAATGTAATATATTTTTTAAAATTAAAATGCATAAGAAGGATAAATAAATTGCAAAAGTAATATTTTAAAAGAAACAGTATGATTGAAGACTCGAAGGAGAATAATCTAAATCATTTTAAAATAAATAAATAAACATTGTCTAACACGAATGTTAAATTTATATATGATGCAATCGTGAAATTTCTCCATCAGTTACACGTTTCCTTTCAGCAGCAAAGCACATTCATGTACAACACGAAATCCCAAAGCTCCAAGAGCTCATGTATTTTTTGTAGTGGGGACAAAAGAAGACACAAAACCATCTTCATCAGCATTATTGCAATTCACCGAAGGTGTTAACAAACATAAAGAGATAAGCCACAATTTCGCGTTGTAATGCACTGGATTCATATTCAAAACGTTAGTGTCCTTCAACATGTTACTCTAAAAGATAACCCTACAAAAAAGATGCCATCAAAAATTTGTCATCAATAACCACACAAAGAATTTCACAAACCCTATTGAATTTCAACATGTTAACCTTGAAATGCTTGTGGAGACGCGAATGAGAAGCTTCGAGATCCTTGAGGATTTCAGAGTGAGAGCGATCGATCCGGCACTTAAGATCGTCAACACCTGAAAAAGCAAGGATCTTGAGGTCCGAGATGTTGTTCGGAGCCCTATGATTGCAAGGTGGAGAAGAGCTGCTGGCCAGAGCGTTAGTTAGAACAGTATTAAAAGACAAAGAAGATAAAAAGACAAAGAATGGAAAAAATATGTGCACGATTAGCAAAGGAAAATATCCAGAAACATATCCTATTTATACACAAAATAATTTCGTAAATTAAACTTAATTTTGCGTATTAAAGATTTGAAATTATTTTTTATTGCAAAAAAACCTATCAGCTTCCACTAAGGCACAACTCTGAAAAACTTCTCAACTCCCAATAAGATTCAATAATTTAAAAAACTTTTCAGCTCCCAATAAGATTCAATAAATTGTTACAGCTTCCAACTTTCGCAGCTTCCAATAAAGAGATAGTGGAAATTTAATTATGTGTGTCAAAATCTATTTTTTAATCTGTTTTCAATTTATTTTTTTAAAATTATAAGCCTAAAAAACAATTTAAAAAGTTACTATAACAGGAAACATTTCAAATTTCTTCAAATGTGAACACAAAGCTCAAATTGAATGAGAATGCGACACGTCATCAAACTTTCTAACAAACAGTTTTACTTTCTAATATATAAGATTTTAATGTTATAAACATTTTTTAATTTATTATTTTACTTCTAAAAGTAAATGACATTTGTCTTTTTTTTTTTTTTTTTGGTAAAGTGACATTTGTCTTTTTTACTATGATTTGTTAATGTTATTTTTTTTTCAATCTAACTATAAATGTTACTTTTCATAATGAATAATCAGCATCGTTCGATTAAAACCATACTCTAAATAAAATTTTCAATACTATAAAAAATACTAAAATTGTTAGTATTATCTAAATTTCAATTTTACAAATAATAATATTCGCTAATAAAATAAAATTTTAAAAACCACAAACTCTTATATTTAAACATTAAAAATTCGGAATTAACGTTATATGTGACACATGCAATTCTTCTATTTTTGTTTCTTTTAAACAAAAATGCTGGCGTTTGCCAATGAAAAATGGATTCTTTAACCTTAAAATTTCGCATCATCTTATTAGTGGAAAATGGATCCTCAAATCTTATTATGTAAGAAGTTTAATTTTATCGATGAACTCTTTTTATGAAGAAATATTAAATAATAAGAAGGATTATATTTACAAATTAAATTATTTATAAAATTTCATAATTTAATTTTAACTGTTAATTTTCGTCAATTTAATAATTATAATTTATTAAAAATTAATATAAATAAGTAATTATAATTATTAAATTAACAGAAATTAATAATTAAAATCTAATAGTAAGAATTTATAAATAATTTAAATTTATAAATATAATCATCTTCTTAAATAATAGAAATAAAAATGTCCAATAAACGTGAGTTTTAAAACAAGAAGATATTATTAGTATTACACTCTTACATGCTTCGGATCAAAGCCACGTCACTACTCCACTCTCCACTCTCCACTCTACACTGCATCAACTGCAAAACGTTTCGTTTTTCCTTCTTCCTTATCATTGCTAAACTCGCTGCGAAATGGCCGAGTCAACTGTAATCCGATTCGGAGTGATAGGGTGCGCCGACATAGCTCGCAAGGTCTCACGCGCCATCGCGCTTTCTCCCAACGCGACGCTGCACGCTGTCGGTAGCCGCTCACTCGAAAAGGCTCGAAGCTTCGTGGCGGCAAACGGTGGCGCCATCGCGTACGGCTCATACGAGGCCGTCCTCGACGACCCCGACGTCGACGCCGTCTACGTGCCGCTACCGACGAGCCTGCACGTGCGATGGGCCGTGCTCGCCGCTCGCAAGAAGAAGCACGTGCTGCTGGAGAAGCCCGTGGCTCTTAACGCCAAAGAGTTTGATGAGATAATTGAGGCGTGCGAATCCAGTGGGGTGCAGCTCATGGACGGTACCATGTGGATGCACAATCCCAGGACCGCTTCAATGAAGGAGTTCCTCTCCGATGCGAACCGTTTTGGCCAGCTCAAATCGGTACGACTCATATTCCAGTTTGAACTGTTCCTATTTTTTTTTTTTTTTCGATTGTTTGAAATCTTCGATTCGGTACAAGGTTAAGTTTTACAGCATCGCTATTTTACACGAAGAAAAAACTTGGCATTTTATGTTTTTCATTTTATGAATTAGCAGGACCAATCCTTAAGGGATCCGGGTCCTTTTTACTCGGATCAACACACCGTGCTTTTGATTTTGAGAGTTGGTTCACGAATTAGCTTTTTTTTTCCACTTCATTTCTATTATCTATTCCTATGTGCTAGTGAAAGTTTCCATTTAATTTTCTTAATTTCAATTATATTTTGATTACGAAAGGTTAATTTTATATACCCTTTTTTAAGTGTAAGTGAAAGTTTCTGTTTTTCATTTATTTTCGTTTTATTTGAATTTTGATTACAAATGCTTAAATTTTGATGCCCATTTTAACTGCACGAGTGAAAGTTTTTTTTATTTGAAATTAATTTTAATTTTTAATAGAAAAGCTTAAATTTTGAGGCCCATTTCTAAATTCATGGATTAGGAAGCAATTAGTAATTGAATATAACACAATTTTCTTTTGTTTTAAATTGTACTATTTTTCTAAAAATAAAATAAAAAATTGTACTATTTTATCCTATTCTCAAGTGACACAAACACTATTGGTTAATGGAATGAAACTTTTTAAATTTTGCAATTAGATACAAAGGGAGTAATGTTTCAATTGTAGCTGTGTGTGTCAGTCACATACATTTTTGTTGATTCATATTGATATACCTATATTTGGTTTGGATGATTTTAATTTATGGACTTGAAATATCTGACAATTTTCAACATTCATACCTATCTTGGGCTATACTATATCGCATCTTTTGCAGTCATGTCCTTTTTTCAATTGCTATCATTAGTGCATGTAGCTGCTTGTCAAAAGATCAAAATCCAGATGAAGACTCAAGAAGATGATAATTGTACTGATGAGTTTTATTTTACAACATACGTTCATATGTTTTACTCTTGGCTTCTTGTTATTATTATATAATAGGCATGTTGAGATAATGATTATGATGGTGAATGATGAAGCTAGCATCAATTCTTCTCCCTCCTCCTAAAAAAGGTGGCTCGGGGATTGAGGAATCTTTTTGCTTTTGTTTTTTTTCATGTTTCTATATTTGTTGTGCTTTGCATAGTTGGTGATTATTAGATGATAAAAATAAGAAGTATAAGGGGTGTATGGATAATGATTTACCTTATTTAATTTTTGGTTGAATTGATTTATTTTCTTGAACATAAGCGTAGCTTTGGCTTCAGTCATTCAGAGTTTGAAAGAATAATAACTTTTGGTCATTCTGTGCAGTATTTTCCGCATATTGTCCCATAATATTAAACCCAGAATCATACAAAGTATTCTTTTTCTTATAGAGAAATAAAATTTATTTGTGAGACCAGAGGAGAAGTACAACAGGGAGGGATAAGATATCCTTTAACAATAACTGTTTTGAAAGGATAAGTAACTCAAAAGGTATCAAGAATTAAGAAAGGCTTGTTAGTCTCTAAGGAGCATTGAATTCCAAATGGATTTTTCAGGTTCATCTTTGTTTAGGATAGAGTTAGAAACTGAATAGTGGAGTTGTAAGAGGCCTTATCACATTGTTACTTGAGAATAGGATAAAATAGTACAATTCGATAGTGCAGCATTCAGGTTCATATATGTTTCCTTCAACAGAAACCTCTATCGAAACATCTAGCTAGTTCAGGCCGAACCCGACTCTGATACTAGAGTTAGTCAGGCCATGCGGAACTCATGGCGAGGGACCACCATCAATGGCTATGCTACACAAATAGTAACAAGTAGGTCCGACACCATGTCTCAACCCAAAACCTTAAGACATTGTATTCATGGATCCTCCCACTTATATGAACTTCACTTAGCCCATTACCAACCAATGTGGGGACTCTATCATACTTGAATATCCCAACATATGATTGGGTGAAAAGGGTGGAGAGGCTTTTTGAATTAAAGTGGGTAGATTTGACTATGGAGGGAAAGGCCTTATCATGGTTCCAATGGTGGGAATTTTGCAACCAATATCCTTCTTGTGAAGATTTCAAAGAGGCAGTTGTAAGGAGGTTCAAATCCTCAATATGGTGTAGAACCCCTATGAATTACTCTTGAGATTGAAACAAGTGAACCTTGTGTATCTTAAGCGGATTTTCTTGCCAAAATTGATGGACTATGTCTGAAAGTTGATGAGAAGAATAGGTGTAACATCTCAAAAATATATTTTAATTAATTAGACAAAATAATATTAATAATTATGGGAGGCTTTAGTCATTGAATATCTGAAATTAGTGAAGTGTAAGAGATTATTACTCAAAATAGAGTTTTAGGGGGAGATTGATAATTAAATAAAAATCATAATAAGTCTTTGCTAATTTAAGTTGATGGAATAAGCTACATTGAGTAACTATAAGAATGACTTTATTTACCAAGTCTTTTAAAGTGTAAAGGGGGACCTTTTTTTATATGATACCACCCTTAAGGGCACTTTTGGGAAAGCAATTGGGCTGAGTCAGTGATGTGCCTGAGATAATTAGTTAGTTAGGGAGTTATTCTAGAATATTCTCAAATAATAGGATATAAGGAGGGGAGTGTGGGAGTGTGAGGTATGCATGAAATTAAGCAAATGGTGAATGGGGTTTTGGGAAAGGATCTCTAGGGATCTCTTGAGGCCTAGGTGTTTGGCTTTGAGGGTGAGTTGAGACCTTTGATTTATCTTTCTGTATTGTCATTTTACTGTTATTTCCTTGTCTATTACTGTTATTTCATTATTTCTGTAATATCTAGTACTTTTGATATCAATATATTTGAAGTTTTTGTTTACATTTAGTGTTGGTAAATTATGTTTAGAAGATCCATTATTTTAGGTTCCATCAATTTGGTATCAAAGCTTCAGATCCTTGGAGCAGTGACCTAGATCTATAAAAAAAAAAAAATTAGAATTTTATGGAGATGAAGATGGAATTAAAGCTTGGGAATGGTTGCTCGGGCTTGAACAACATTTTCAAGCAAATCAAATTCAAAAAGCTGATATACTGAATGAAGCTGTGAAGGGGTTAAGAGGTCGTGCGCTCAATTGGTACAAACTTTGGAGTGAGCTCAGTCCCCATGTAAGTTGGTAGCGCTTTGATATAGCATTTATGGGGAGATATGTAACATCCCGAGCGCTGACGAGGGCGGGGAGTGATCGCCGGTGCAAAGAGGCACGGACAAGGAGCGGCTCCTGACAGGCTTCCAGCGCGGGGTTACATGCATGAATGAATCGAATCCACACCCGAAAGAGAGGGATTCCAAAGACTGTGCAGGTGTGAGACTGTATTGTTTGGGATAGCTTATAAGAATTAATTGGTACTACCTATACTAACAAGATGCATCTACTTTTCGGTAGCCCGGAACGGAAGAACTCCATAGTTAAGCGTGCTTGACTTGGGGCAATTCTGGGATGGGTGACCTCCTGGGAAGTTTTCCCGGGAAATGTGCGAGTGAGGACAAAGCACGCTGAAAAGTCTCGTGTTAGTGTGTGGGGATAGTCGTTAATCCTTGCAAGTTGCCGGGCGTTACAAGTGGTATCAGAGCAGGGCCTCTCTTCCAGTACGGTGTGGTTCGAGGACGAACCAGGCGGAAGCTGGTGGGCATGTAACATCCCGAGCGCTGACGAGGGCGGGGAGTGATCGCCGGTGCAAAGAGGCACGGACAAGGAGCGGCTCCTGACAGGCTTCTAGCGTGGGGTTACATGCATGAATGAATCGAATCGTCACCCGAAAGAGAGGGATTCCAAAGACTGTGCAGGTGTGAGACTGCACAGTTTGGGATAGCTTATAAGAATTAATTTGTACTACCTATACTAACAAGATGCATCTGCTTTTCGGTGGCCCGGATCAGAATATCTCCATAGTTAAGCGTGCTTGACTTGGAGCAATTCTGGGATGGGTGATCTCCTGGGAGGTTTTCCCGGAAAGTGTGCGAGTGGGGAAAAAACACACTGAAAAGTCTCGTTGTTAGTATGTGGGGATAGTCATTGATTCTTGAAGCGACCGAGCGTTACAAGATATATACCTGAGATCTGTTTGGTAGAGAAGGATGAAGTATCGAACAACCCAGAAAAAAAGAAACAAAAAGAGATCACACAAGAGGTGGACGAAGAAGAACGAACAGAGATTAAAGAAGAACAAGAATAGAACCTGGTGCAAAAGCAAACAGAGATAGAAAGACATGCAGAAGAGGATCGAAAATTAGAAGAAGGAGCAAAAGAAAAAGAAATTGAAGCTATGGAAGAAATCGAAGAAGAATCAGAGGAAAAAGGAAAAGAAAATGAAGAAGAAAAAGAAGAAAATCAAGAGCAAGAAGACAAAGAAGGATCTCATTATTTGCCAAGGGAATCAGAAAATATTTCCACCATCTCAGAATATGATTCAATATTAGAAGCGATAGAAGGAGAGGAACACCTGCACCTCGTTGAAGATTTGGAATGGAGGGTTGAAGAAAAAAGGACTAATCGCATGTGGATCGGGTTGGTGGGCGGGCGAAGTGGAAATGGAGCGGGTTTAATGGGTGGGTATAATAGTAACCACCCACCCAACTTAAATCAATAGGGCCAATTCTATTGCTGAATCGTGGTTCAACATGGGTAAGATAATTGCACAAAATGGGCCTGGAGGTTTCGGCCCAAGGAATACAACCCAAGCAAGAGATGGATCTAGAAATTTGGCTAATGGGAATTCTGAAGGGCTTTCATCTCAATGGGTAGGGTCTAGCGATAAGGGTACCATAATGAACAATCAAAGTACTTACGCAGTACAAGGAACGGAGGAGCGAGATTTCGGTGGCTGTCGCCAAAGGAACCGAGCAATAAAAGAAGAAGGAATTTATGCTCTCACGGTGATGCACCAATTTCGCCAGTCCACATATGTCAGAACCCAAGCTTGCATGTCATGTTGATAGGAGC